GCCTTGCTAGAATCCCGGCCATTCGGGTCACCCTCTCGACCCCTGCTATTAGTCGAGAAAAAAGCTGTCCGCGCTTAATCGTGCCGTTGACGACACCACACCTTTCCCTGGCCTTGAAACCCCGCGATAGCACTACGTACCCGTACATGTACGCCGGGGGCGGGCACACTTGCCCCTATGCATTCACGATTTCAGACCCTTGCTGTGCAGCCATGTGGAAGGAGACCGTGGTACATTTAATCTATCTCTTTTTTAATATAGACTATTATGACAAAAATGGTTGGTCTTTTGATAAATACTATGTGATGGGTTGGATTGAAGGTGGTACGAGATAATTGCATGACAGGTGCTGGCATAGCGGCTGGCATAACAGCTGCACAACAACTGCACAACTGGGTCACATATCGAGACCGGGCAGGCGATGAGGGGCTGGGCTTCTTTGCACACGGCCCTCTCTGTTGCTCTTCGGTCATAGCAAAACACCACCCATCATGTGGCACACATTGCACGATACGCCAGGAGATTGACCATGCGGTGGCATGGAACGGCATAGACCCCACATTGTGACTAGTTTCACACGCCCTCGACTGTCTCTATCACATCTTTGCACGTTTTCATCACGCCTCGATCACGCCCTCACACCCGCTGTCATTGGCCCTTTGGCCCGCCCTCCAACAACCGGCCAACAAGCTTCTAGCCGTCGACGCCATATCCGCCTCACTCGTGTACCGACATGTACATATCTCTTGACTGGAAGGCCTATGTTGGCTTGTCTGCTTGCCAGGAGCCCTTGGCATTTCGACATGGGGATAGGCTCGGCCGTCCCCATGTATGTATTCGGACCAGATATGTCTGCCCTTGTGTGCGAATCCCAGTTAGCGTCGCGTGCGGACCACACTGACCATGTAGCAGTAGTTGTTCTGTACCGTGTTGACATGCCCATCCGATCTTGGGAATTTACCTTGTACATACTGCACCTAGCCGAGAGACGGGGCTCCTTTCAACTCGTGCGCAACCGAGTGAAACTGGGGATTTGTCGCCGATACGAAACCGAGATGCGCCCCAACCGTTTTGCGCTACCAAGGGGAGGCATCTTGAACCCGTTTCTCATTTTAGGATTCTTCCGCCCCCTTCACCGCGACATCGGAGAAGCTGCAAACTCATTTGCGTATAATCAATCTCGGATCTTGGCTTGCCAGATAGGCCAGTCCAAAGCCAGGCATACGGAGTAAATAACATTGAATCAAACCACGTGTCCACACTACGTACGAACGAGGTATAGGGCAATATATCGCTTGCCGTACTTGAATAATAGGTTGAACTCCAACTGGTCGAGAACGGCTGTCGCTCCGTGCGTAAGCCAGCTCTGTACATGCGTGGACGTGGACGTCAACGGTCCCACCACGTCTTCCTGACCACTCCTTCATAAGGTACTACCTCACCCCCCACAGCTCTTCATTCATATTTACCTTTTGGCTAGTCGCCCGTGAAATTTAGATCCGGCATTGCTTGTCTTTGCTCGAACATTCCTTAATAGTCCGAGTCGATCCCTTTCACGCCACGTGAACGCAGCTGAACCACCCCAAAGACTCGAGTCCTCGCAGGTCAGAACGCATAGCACACGACAAGTGACCACGACAGAGAGCGAATGCTTGGAATTGTCCTTGGTGCCAACTGGAGCCGAGAGAGCCTAAGGCTGCCTGTCATAACCGCCTCACAATGTTAGAAACAAGATTTTAGATCATAGTCAGCATCCCCTAGCATCCCTGATTCACGCCTTGAGTCGCATTGCTGCAAGGAGTCCGCTTTACCCACCTGTGATTTCCATTGCTGTCAACATCCAGGCTGGGTTACTGATACGGGTATCTTGCTTGGTTCTGGGTACACCTGCGACTCGAAGAATGGGCACTATTTCTGAGAGACCGAGCGCACCACTGTCATCTTGCACTTCTCTTCCTTTTATATTCCTCTCCTTGACCACAATTCCAGAATATTAGTATTTATTTTGGCCCGTTGCGGAAAGTAACGCTTTTCCCCACTCCTTCAGATAGAATCACCTCTTCTTTCGTTCCTCTTCCTTCTCTACCTCACTATCGACATTCGGTCCACACCAAGTCCGCAAGGTCGTGAGACAGAGACGAAGTATCTGGCCCAGGAGCCTGATTCTGTCGTTTTGGCAGCTCAACCCTACAACTCCGCAGAGACTTTAGATCAATCTAAAAGCCAAACTCCCTCGATGCTCATCGCCAGGCTCTGTGACAGAACAGAGTACAGTCACTGGACTCGCTTTCAATATAACCGGCCACTAAGCCGCCCCCAGAGTCCACGCATGTCTGAAAAACAGAGCCTGCCATCGCCATTAGAGCCAGAATGGCAAGGACAATATGCTTATTCTCGTCTCGAGACCAACCCTTATCAACGCTCATCTTTGGACACGAGAAATGACCTGGACAGGCATAGGACCGACTCAACAACGCCTATGAGGCACCAATACCAAAGCCAGGACTTAAAAATAGAAAGTCTTGCTCACGAAGCAGTGAGAAGCTTAGGAACTTCAATCCCACAGCTGGGCAGACCGACATCCTCTTTTTATGGCACCACAAGTACCTGTTCAAAGCCATCCGGCACCATCAACCGAGACAGCTTGGGAGCAGACATATCTCCTTACCCCCGACTGACGGAAGCAAGCAACTTCTACAGATCTCAAGGAGACCAGACTCCTGGAGCTGAGTTGACCAAATTTGACAGAGAAGATAAAGAGCGATGCTCAAGCCAGGACACCGAATTCGACGTGTACAATGACGATGCCGATGACTCTGATCGAGTTTCTCATTTCTACCACCAGACAGAGGCGGAGCGTATTACGGCATGTCGCAAAATGAAACGATTCAGGTATAGCCAAGGACTAAGACAACAGGAGCCTACAAATCAAGGGCTTATAGCGTATTATAGAATGCTGATTTTTAACAGGCTTACGCATCAACAAACCAGATTTTTGATGAGCGAGTTTACGAAACAGCCCCATCCTGATGCCACCCTTAGGGAACGACTGTCTCGGGAGATTCCTGGGCTAAGCCCTCGACAAGTCCAAGTCTGGTTTCAAAACAGGTGAGGAAACTTCGTAAGCAGAGAATACCGAAAAAGAACCTTGCTAAAGGAAATAGACGCGCCAAAATGAAGAGAGTCACAATTGATGAACGCGACAGAATGGTTCGGACGCGGGCAGTTCCAGACAACTTTAACAACTTACAAGCCATACATTCATCTTATGGCGCCTTGCATGGCATTGGAGCATCTGTGTCGCCACCGAACCTGGGACTGATGGGTCACCCTTACGGGAGTCACGAGGCAAGACCGTTGATGTTGGGTTTACGAAGCTCCGCGGTAGAATCGAATATTTCGCCCAATGGACTTTCGCAATCTCTCAGTGGTATTAATATAGGCCAACCAGGAAGTGTTCCTAGCCCTAACATAGTGCCTATATCCAACAACTTGTATAATGACGGATACACCGCTAGAAGCTCAACGCCATCACCTACTCCTGGACTCGAGTATCAAGCTTCAACCACGTACTGGAATTCCACAGCCGATAAAATGGGTATCCCATCACCGCATAGTCATCAAGGAATAAGGGACTCGCAGTCGCCACAATGCAGAGACTGGAGCTCTCGGCAAACTCACGATTCGTGCCTGAGCCTTTATAATAGAAGTGCTACTTCGGCACCCAATTCATCCAGTCCACAAGTAAGTTATCCAACCTCTTCAACAGGCACCCTGGGGACTTGCGAGACACAGTCGTATTCTGGTTAGTATCGAAGACACAAATATACTTTTGATTTAAGGGCCTTAATGTAGCTAATATTAGCAGGTATAGAACTGTTAGGTCTGCCGGGTCGAGACTCCAGGAATGACTCGGAGCGAGAAGGATCTGGCAAGAATCTGTGACAAGGGCTTATCTAAGAGCTTGGAGCAAAAGGGCGCTCAATTCAATAATAATCTCGAAGGGTCTCGAAGGTCTGGAGTTGCTAAGAGGGATAAAAGGAAGAGTAGCCGCTATATATACAAGAAGAAAACACCCGGGCCTAGGGCTCTTGCCCGGGCACGTGTTCCAGCTATGCAACCAATAAGTCCTGTATCGGCGAGGCCCCTTTATTGGCCTTCATCATTTGTTGGGCCTTTTCCGTGTAACAGAATCGGAGCGGAACTTACAGAGTATTTCCACGTGTATTTTTTGTAATTTTATAGTTTTTCAAAATCTATTAATATGGAAACCAATAAGATGCTTCTAAGTATAACTTTTGCCTAATACTATTTCAGATTTTACGCTTGCACGATGCTCGTATTAAGCTTGTAATTTTATAAATAATAATCCCCGTTAATAAGTATAATTTATTAATATTGAAATAGCCTATCGCGAGATAGCCTTGGCTAGCCGAATTACAAGGTAATAATTAATTTAAAAAATTTAAAAAATAAATATAATTTTTAACTAGAATTAATAGCTTATTTATACTTTTATTATTTATTATAAAATAATTAAGCGTTATAATTTATTAGCGCAGGAAACAGAAAACGTATATCCAGATAAGCTATTACTGCGCCGGGCCGGTATGTGGCGGGAATAAACCGGTGTTAAAGACGGGAGAGGGGGGCTCTCTTAGCCTCGGTATAAAAGCAGCATCTCCCCGCGCTTGATTTGATTTCTCACCTCGTTTGCCTGATCGCACCCCCTACTTGGCTGCATACTACATCAAAACATTGCCTTGGCAAAAAAAGGGACATTCCTCAACCCGTCGACGCACCCCCAGGCCCCGTCTGCCCACCTCGCTTCTCCCGCGGCTTTCTCCGACGGAGCACCGCAGGATCAAAGCTTGAGCCGGCCTCGAGCCAGCAGTGTGTCACAAAAAGAAAGGGGACAGAGCACCCCTTGGCATATATTTATTGAGATTCCGGCCGCGGCGAGCCCAGTCTGTGCCAGTGTGCGGGAGCGTCGGGCGAAAATGGCAGACGAGAGAAACCCGGTCCTCTACGAGCCGTCTCCTGAGGGCATAACCACCATCACCATCAACCGTCCCCATGTCCGCAATGCGGTGAACCGTGCGGCGGCCGCTGGGTTGGCCCAGGCATTCCGGGCGTTTGAAAATGACTCGTCACAGAGGGTGTGCATCCTGACCGGCGCAGGGGACTCGTTCTGCGCCGGGTACGACTTACACGAGGTGGCCAAGGGGCAGCACGCCTCTCCTGCAGCCCAGCCGGTCGACCGCGTCAACGGCGCCATGGGGCCCATGGGACCGTCCCGCATGGCGCTCACCAAGCCCGTCATCGCGGCTGTCTCGGGATATGCCGTGGCAGGAGGGCTCGAGCTGTCTCTGCTGGCGGACATGCGCGTGGCCGACGACACGGCCGTGTTTGGTGTGTTTTGCCGTCGCTTTGGCGTCCCACTGATTGATGGGGGTACAGTACGTCTTCAGAAGGTTGTGGGACTGGGAAGGGCCATGGACATGATCCTGACGGGGCGGCCGGTCTGCGCGGACGAGGCGTTGGCCTTTGGCCTGGTGAATAGGGTGGTGGCGGGCAAGGGGGAGGCCGTCCGGGAGGCGAGGAGGCTGGCTGGTGTCTTGCTGGGGTTTCCCGAGAAGTGTATGCGGGCCGATTTGGTTTCGGCGCAATACGCTGCGTATGATGCCAAGGGGCTAGAGGATGCCTTAAGGTTCGAGTTTGAACGGGGCGAAAAGGTCATTCTGCACGAGAGCGTGGCTGGGGCCAAGAGGTTTGACGGCGGAGCCGGCAGGGGTGGCAAGTTTGATAATGATGGTCGTGGTCGTGGTGCCAAGGGCAGAAAAGGGAGCAGGCTGTGATGACGGGCCTTTGTCTCCCCTATTCGTGATGGGGGAGCGGGACGTGACATTGATTCTGTGCCGACTCGTCAAGTGGGACACTGGCAGTAACAATGTGTGTTGTTCATGTAGGTGGGGTTGACGATGATTGGAAATTCATTACACGTCTTTTTTTGAATTCATCTACGTATCCGCTTGTGACAAGGGCTTGGGCGCAGTAACTCAATTCAAAGTTACTTCTGTAAGATATCAAAGGTCCTATGGTTTCCAAAGCAAGGTGGAGACAGGTGACCACTATATATCCTGCCTAAAGCTTCCAGCTGGACATGTGTTTAGTCTGTGTAACCTCGAGGTCCTTGTTGGCGATCCCCCTTTGTTGGGCTTTGTTATCGGGTCCTCACCGTGTAACACCGGAAGCATCCAGGTGGGACACCAACAATTTATTATGCAAAAGTTTTATGAATGCAGGAATCTACCATATTACTGTAAAACCTGAAACTGACACATCATTTGTGTCTATGGGTCTTGTCTATCAGCTTGTTTAATATATTTGCATGACAATATTGGTAAAGTAGTATCCACATTACTTACAGCACAAAATGAGTCACCTGTAAACTGTGATTACTCGACTGCTTCTGGCTAAGCTGCTGATAAGGGGACCATGGAGTTTGAACGGCGCGAAACCCCAGACCAAAAGCAGGTAATGTTGCGCGCACCTCCCTGCTGGTTTTATGCTGTGCGCTTCGGAAGGCGACCCATTCTTTTCCGGGCTCGGACTGCGGAGGGTCGGTGGGTCGGAGAGGTCGGGCGCGGCGGATGAAGCGGAGCTCCCGTTGACCCGCTGCGGCCGCAAATGCCGGCAGGCTCGAGGACAACACGGCAAGAGCGATGGGTGAACATGACATGAATGCTATGAAGAGGCAAAGCCAAACCCACCGTGTCAAGGTAGTGTAGGTCTTTACTATAAAATTGGTCGCACATCGCATCAAATTCCATGCAGGACATTGCGTGCTTCTTTTCTTCCCTCGGTTTGAAATCTGCCCATTCAGCCACCACGCAACGCCCGGTCTTCGATTGGTCCCCCCTTCCGCCATCGGCGTGTCGGCGACTCCAAGTCCCGTCGCAACAACGTCCGTCAGGTCATGGTTATGTGCGGTGCCAGATGACGGAGCAAAAGCCCTCCCACGAGCAGCAGGCCAGAGTACTTAAGATGGCGGACAGGTGCCTCGCGCGGTGGCAGTCGATACTTGCGTCGTAGCAAATGGCTGGCTCAAGCAACACAAGCGCCATGGCTGGACGGGAGACCATGCCGGGCAAACGAAGGCCATCCGAAGTGCTCGAGCACCAGGAACTACAAAACCTGGTGCGCATTGCGTCCGACTTGAGAGAAAAGCAGGGTCTTGCGATACCAAACAGCTCCGACCTGTCTGACAATGACGACGATCCCCGGCTCGACCCAACTAGCCATACATTTGACCATTACCGATGGGCGCAACGGGCCTTGATGTCTCTCAACAAGTCCGGCATTTCTCTGGAGCGGCAGGGCGTGATCTTTTCGAATCTTTCCATCTCTGGGTCCGGGTCCCCGTTGCGTTTCCAGGAGACTGTCCTCTCCAGCCTGCTGCTTCCATTTCGCTCTCTCGCCCTCGCTGTCTTGGGCAGGGCCAAGAGCAGCCGCCCTCGCCGTATTCTTGACAGTTTTGACGGCCTGCTCAGGAGCGGCGAACTGCTGCTCGTGCTGGGCCGTCCGGGGAGCGGCTGCTCAACCCTGCTCAAGGCGCTGTGCGGGCATCTGGAAGGGCTAACTCTAGAGCCCGGAAGCAGAATTCATTACCAGGGAATCAGCTTCAAGAAGATGACGAGGCAATACCGCGGCGAGGTTGCCTACAACCAGGAAGTAGACGAGCATTTCCCGCATCTAACAGTTGGCCAAACCCTCTCCTTTGCCGCGGCCGCCCGTGTACCACGTCAGCGGCCGCCCGACCTAACGAGACAAGAGTACATCGACACCATGGTCAGTGTCGTCATGGCCTTGTTCGGCCTGTCGCACACGTTTGACACCAAGGTCGGCGACAGCTTCGTCCACGGCGTCAGCGGCGGCGAGCGCAAGAGAGTCAGCATCGCCGAGATGTTTCTCTCCCGAGCCCGCGTTGGGGCATGGGACAACAGCACTCGAGGCCTCGACGCGGCAACGGCGCTTCAGTTCATCAAGTCGTTGCGGCTGTCGGCCGATCTGGGCAGAGCCTGTCACGCTGTTGCCGCGTACCAATCCTCGCAGTCCATGTACGACCTCTTCGACAAGGTCGTTGTTCTGTACGAGGGCCGCGAGATCTTCTCCGGGCCATGCGCCGACGCGGTTGCGTACTTTGAAGACATGGGCTGGCACCGAGATTCCAGACAGGTCGCATCAGACTTTCTCACGGCCGTCACGAACCCCGGCGAGCGCACGCCGCGGCCAGGCATGCAAGACAAGGTGCCTCGCACCGCGGCAGAGTTTGCCGACTATTGGCGGCGCAGCAAGGAGGCGGCAAAGCTCAAGGCCGACATGGAAGCGTATGAGCGTGCGCACCCGCTCGGCGGCATGGCCTGGCAGAGGTTTCAGGAGAGCCATGAGAAGCAGCAGGCCAGGCACACGAGAGCCTCGAGCCCGTATCTGCTCTCGGTCCCGATGCAGATTCGCCTGTGTCTGCGCCGAGCGTTCCAGCGGATGCGCAACGACGTGCCGACGACCATGTCCACCGTCGTTGTCCAGCTCGTCTTGTCCTTCATCATCGGGTCTATCTTCTACAACTCGCCCAACACCAGTGACGCCTTCTTCCAGAAAGGGGCCGTCATCTTCTTTGCCGTCCTCATGAACGCCCTCATCACCATCAACGAGATCATGCAGCTGTACAGCCAGAGGCCCGTGGTCGAAAAGCACGCCCGATATGCCTTTGTGCACCCGTTCACCGAGGCACTGGCAAGCTCCATCATAGACTTGCCCATCAAGTTGCTGCGCTGCTCTCTGTTTAGCATCGTGCTTTATTTTCTCGTTGGATTGCGCGCGGAGCCTGGGCCGTTCTTCGTCTTTTACCTCTTCCTCATCACGACCGTCCTGGTCATGTCTGGAATCTTCCGCTCGGCCGCGGCGGCGACGAGAACAGTCGGCCAAGCCATGGGCATCGCCGGCATTCTGATACTTGCCCTTGTGGTATACAGTGGCTTCATGATACCTCAGTCATATATGCACCCCTGGTTTGCGTGGATTCGCTGGATCAACCCCATCTTTTACGCCTTTGAAGGTCTCCTTAGCAATGAATTTCACGGACGCGAATTCGGCTGCGCCCAGCTTGTTCCGCCTTACGGAACTGGGAGCTCCTTCATATGTGCTGCCGTCGGCGCGGTGCCTGGCCAGCGGTCGATTGCGGGTGATGCGTTTCTCAAGGCAAACTATGGTTATCAATACTCTCACTTGTGGCGCAACTACGGGATTCTGGTTGCCTTTCTTGTCTTCTTCCACGTTACATATCTGACCGCCACCGAGTTCAGCAAGGGGAGGCCCTCCAAGGCTGAAGCCCTCGTCTTCCGCCCCGGCCATGCGCCAAGGCGCCTTTATCAAGGTGATGTTGAAGCACCAGAAAAAGACCGCGTGTCTGTGTCCACGGCGCCCGGCGACGACAAGATGGGCCACTTGCCTCGACACAGAGACGTTCTCACATGGAGAGCGCTCAACTATGACATCCCCGTTCAAGAGGGCACACGCCGGCTGCTGAACGATGTCAATGGCTGGGTCAAACCAGGGACACTAACAGCACTCATGGGAGTATCTGGGGCCGGCAAAACCACGCTCCTGGATGTACTTGCACAGAGGGTTTCCATTGGAGTCGTGTCCGGTGACATCCTGGTCAATGGCCAAGTGACTACGTCTGGGTTTCCGAGACGAGCTGGCTATGTCCAGCAGCAAGACCTTCACCTTGGCACAACCACGGTGCGAGAAGCGCTGCGCTTCAGTGCTGTGCTGCGCCAGCCTCCATCCGTGTCCAAGGCAGACAAGTACCAGTACGTCGAGGAGGTGATGCAAATGCTGGGCATGCACGAGTTTGCGGAAGCAGTCGTCGGTTCTCCCGGCGAGGGGCTCAACGTGGAACAGAGGAAGTTGCTGAGCATTGGGGTCGAACTTGCGGCGAAGCCCTCCTTGCTCATCTTTCTCGACGAGCCGACCAGCGGCCTTGATTCTCAGAGCTCCTGGACCATCTGCGCGTTCCTGCGGCGGTTGGCCGATCATGGACAGGCAGTGCTGGCTACCATCCACCAACCCAGCGCTCTGCTGTTCCAGACATTCGACCGCCTCTTGTTCTTGGCACAGGGAGGCAAGACTGTATACTTTGGAGACTTGGGGCTCAAGTCCAGCACTCTGCTTGATTACTTTGCCCGTGCGGGGGTGCGACGATGTGGCGAGCGGGAGAATCCTGCGGAATACATACTGGAGATGGTATCCGGGAGGGACGACTCTGGTATCGACTGGGCAGAGCAATGGAGCAAGAGCCCGGAGCACGACGAGGTGCTCGAGGAAGTCGAGGCTCTCAACAGGCGGCAGGCCGTCGCTCGCACCGAGAGCACGGCAGATCAGGACGTGTCCCGCGAGTTTGCCCAGCCCTTTGGCACCCAGTTTGTCCATGTCGCTGGTCGTGCGTTCAGACAGTACTTTCGACAACCAGAATACATCTTCACCAAGTTCGCCCTGGGCATCGCCTCGGGCCTGTTCATAGGATTCTCCTTCTGGAAGGCCGACAGCACCCTGCAAGGGTTTCAAAACGCCCTGTTTGGCGTCTTCCTCCTGGCAACCATCTTCCCGACCCTAGTCAACCAGATCATGCCCAAGTTCGTGGCCCAGCGCGCCCTGTACGAAGTCCGCGAGCGCCCGTCGAGAGTCTTCTCGTGGAAGGTCTTCATCCTGTCCCAGATGCTCGTCGAGGTGCCGTGGCAGGTCCTCCTGGGCATCTGCGCATGGGCGTGCTTCTACTTTCCCGTCTTCGGCACCAGCGGCTCCCCGGACACCCAGGGCTTGATCCTCCTCTTTGTCATTCAGTTCTACATGTACGCGGCCACGATTGCGCAGATGGTGGTGGCCGCGATTCCGGACCCGGCGCTGGGAGCCATGCTGGCCGTGCTCATGTTCGGCATGTCCTTCATCTTCAACGGCGTCATGCAGCCGCCCGACGCTCTGCCGGGCTTCTGGATCTTCATGTGGCGCGTCTCCCCCTTTACCTACTATGTGAGCGGCCTCGCCGGCGCGGCGCTTCACGCACGCAGCGTCGTGTGCTCCGCGAGCGAGATGAGCGTGTTCGATCCGCCCCCTGGGCAGTCGTGCGGTGCGTACCTGGCCATGTTCCTGGACAAGGCTCCCGGCACGCTCTACAACCCCGGTGCGAGTTCGGGATGCGAGTACTGCGCTCTCTCTTCCGCGGATCAGTACCTGGCTGCTCGCCGGATCTACTGGGGCGAGCGGTGGCGCAATTACGGCATCTTCTGGTGCTACATGGTCTTCAACGTCTTCGGCACGGCAACGCTGTACTACCTGTTTCGTGTGAGGACGTGGAAGAGGCGCAAGGTGACAAGGCCGTAGATGGACCTCTCAGAATCAGCGAGGGATGGGTGTTTGTCATTCATGTACTTTGTGCTTTTTGTGTATATTAGCCTCCGCCTGTGCATGGCGGGTGACCAACTTTCCTGCTGTGGAATACATGCATGTGCATTCATAAAACTGCTCGCTTCGCAGGGCGAGACCTCTGGCACGTCCATCATTATCTCCGTCATTGAAGATTAGGCAATCGTCCTTTCCGAAACCTGCACCCACATGTCCGTAATATGAAGCAGCCCGAGGCAATTCTGCAGTCTCCACGGCCGAGTCGGGTCAACTACAGCCATGTCAAAGTTGCGGAACGTCTAGAGCGAAATAATAACAATCCAGAGTTAGCCCAGCATGTCCCTTCTTTCACACGTCACACAACAGGTTTCCCACCACCACCCCCTTTCTTTTCGGCGCACTCACCTCGAATACCAACTTTCCAAGCTCAACCTGAGCGACTCTCTTCCCGAGGCATTGGAACTTGCCATGTCCGAAAATGAGCTCATTGGTGGCCGTCATGACGTGTAATTTAGCCTCATCTGCCTCGAACCAACGCTCTGGCCGGAAAGCTTCCGCATCGTCGCCGTAGATCTCCTTGTCGTGGTGCATGGCGTATGCCGAGTAGCCAATAGACACACCGCCAGGCAAGAAGATCTTTGTCCCATCGCAGCTGCTAATGGTTACCATGTCACCGGCCGCCGGGACGTCACGAGAAAAGATGTTGGTGACGGGAGGGTGAACGCGCAGGGCCTCCCTCATAACAGCCTGCAGGTAGGGAAGCTGCTTCGCCTGCGTGGCAGATATGAGACCGTCTCCGGGCGCGGGCGCCCGGCCATCACGCACGGCATCGTCAATCTCACGCTGCAGCTTGGCGTAGACGCGCGGATTGGTCATGATGTGAAGCAGTGTCGCCCGAATAGCCGTGGCCGTGGTGTCGGACCCTGCGATGATCTGCTCCAGAGCCTCGGTCCTCAGCTCGTCGCCAGACAGGCCGTGTCGGATAAACGACGCAAGCATGTCGGACCGCTTGTCTGTCGGGTTGGCGGCGCGCTGGTCCACGTACCGGAAACACGTGGCCATCATCTTGCCAAACCCGCTGTTGTCCTTGGGCGAAGGGGCGATGAATTTCCCGATGAAGGGCGAGTGGGCGAGCCAGCTGAAACCCATGGCCAAGGCTGTGTTACCGATGGTGAGACCTTCGGCGCTGGACTTGATATAGTCGTCGATGTCGTGGTCGGCTTGTAGCATGCCAAAAGCCGTGCCGAGCCCGACCTTGCTGATGACGTCGATGGTGAAGAATTGGGCTTTTGTGGCTAGATCCATGTGCGGTGCATTACCTGTGGACGAGACATATTTACTACGGATAAGATGCATGAGCTGGGTGAGACATTCGTCTATGGAGGCTTCGAGATCAAGGTTCTCTCTGCCAGAGTACTGTCGCAGGCCGTCGTCAGTGGGATTCACTCAATGCCTCCCCCCAAGGCCCTTGTCTTGGGTAACGTGTGGATGAAGGGGTTATATCGACATACGCCGGGGGCCATTTGCTTTCTCCTCCGGTCGTGCTTTTCGTTGTCAGTCTCACTAAAGACATTATCGCGGCGATACTCGATGCGGCATGCGTTGTAGTACCACGGCGAGCGTCGGTACCCCGGAGTGTTGTTTACGTGTGTCCAAACCTCTGGAGATGAGGTGATGAGGACATTTGGGGCTACCCTCGCAATGGGTCCTGATGATGTCCCGAGTCACCAAGATGAACAATTTGGCAGCAGCTGGATGGATGTGATACTACTGACCGTATTTCCTGTTCACATCGGCATACCACCTGTGGCAGTCCCCGCGAAGCATGGCTCGACTGTGAGGAACATTGCTAAGTCCGGTCCATGGCGGGCCCGCGAATCTTCTGAGCTTGAAAAACTGCCATGTCAGTCTCAGAATATACAGGCCGATGAGGCCCAGCGCCAGCGATGTCAGCTGCATCACGACAAAATCAGCACACGGACTGACGGATATGGACTGCGATGCCGAGAGTGAAAAAAATCTCCAACCATTTCCACGCTCATACAATATCCTCCCCGCGGATTTGCACCTCGCCCCATGAGTCCCGGACCAAGGGCACGGTATAGGAACAGTGGCCCCGATGGCGTGGATCGAATGGCTTCCCTGTCGACATGGGTTGATGCAGCTATTACGGTCCAACCACAACTAGACACTTTTCAGACATGCGTGTTGCCATTGGTAGCCAGTGGCAGCATGGTTTCTGCATGGTGGACTCGCGGAGTCCCTTGCCTCCTGGAGGGTCCAATTCGCATGGCGATGTTTGTTTCCCAGCAGGACCACGACGCCGGTGCAACGTCTCTGCGATCGGAAACCGACAATGGGCTGATCGGTTAAGCAGGAATGGTGGCAACATATCGGCACAGCGCCGCAAAACTTTGGCTTGGTTGGCAGTAAAGTGTGGACTGGCGTGCCAGTGATAACTCCGCACCACGGAATCGAGTTGTTAACTCTTCTCTTGTTCTACAAAGCAAAATGCGGTTTAGCTTTTCCTTAGCGGCACCAAAGTTCCATCCTATTGGTTGGCTAAGAGTGTCAGTTGGCTCAATAGGTGCAGACTCCACTTGATTTGTCGTCATTGGCTATATGGCGTCGTGGTGTTCTGAAAGTCGATTCTTGCCCCACCCTGGACATTGTGGACTGTGTTGGTGACTGCAACCTCATGCAGACTTCTGTATCGTGCATAGATGCAAACTTTACCCAAGACATTGTTTATGAGAGACGGACAGAAGCGCCACATAGTCTAGCTGACGCCCACAGCCAATTTTGGCTCATGGCCGCCGCCGTTTCCACATCAAGAGCCGTTTCCTGTCGGTGGCCTGGTGCTGGCCGGATGTAGTACTCGTGGCACACACTCCAGAAACTGAAAAGGTGTAATGACTGGTCTGGAACACTTGGCACGGGAAACACAGGACACGAGGGACGGACCAGCTTGCGTATCCATCGGCGAGGGATTGATTGGGTAATTTGAGTCAAATCCCCCATTATTGCTCGACTGTTTGTCATCTACACCACCTATCATCGTCTCGACTACCTTTTTGCTTGCGACCTTGAGCAAAGCAAAAGACTATTGACGGGCAACGCGGGAAAACGGCCCAACCTCAACCGCTTCGCTACGACTTTGTTCAGATAGGCATTCTCACACGGGTTGTCCTATCATGCGCCTTTCAAAAGCCATAGAGCAAACCCCCCGTTCTTCGACTTCGTGGTAGACCACGAAGCGACCGACATCATGTCGAGCCCAAAGATGCCAGACAAGGCGAAGCAGTCTCCGTCGCCCAAGCCTCTCTCACCTGCGGGCGACCCTGCGCCTCCCTTGCTTGCCGACGACCGCCCTACCAATACGCAAATCCCGTTTGTACGAATTGACCCATGCCAATTCGGCTGCCAAGGACGAAAACTGACTCCCAATCAATCTGTAGAGATGGACTGATGACGATACCGACTCAGCGCTGGGCGACGAGGGCAGGTACGAACGGGCTATATTGTTCATTGGCAATCCCACTCAATCTTCTAACTGAATCGCAAAGCATTCTGTCATCGACTGTTTCCCTCAACGAAAGCATCTACAACTACCGCGACCTCCATGGTCGCACGTACCAGAACTCCAGCACCACTGAATACTGGGGTCCAAATGATGACACACAAAACCTAGGGCTTGACATTGCCCACCACTTTATTACCCTACTCCTGGGCGACCGACTCTTCGAGGCGCCAATCCCCGAGAGGCCAACCAAAGTCCTCGACGTTGGCACCGGAACGGGCATCTGGGCCATCGACATGGCCGACGCCTACCCGTCCTCTGAGATCATCGGCACAGACATCAGCCCCATCCAACCAGTCTGGGTACCTCAAAATCTGACCTTTGAGATCGAAGACGCCCAGCTCGACTGGACCTTCAACCCCTCCTCTTTTGACTTCATCCACATGCGCGCCCTATACGGTAGCATCGGCGACTGGCCGCGACTCTACCACCAGGCGTACACGGCCCTCAAACCCGGCGGATGGCTGGAAGACTTCGAATTCACCATCACCCTGCACAGCGACTTGCCCGAAATCAGAGACGACCCAGATCACATCTTCAAGCGGTGGGGCACCGTATTCATGGAGGCGGGTGACCGGATGGGCAAGAGCTTGCGGATCGGCATGAACGGCCGCATGACGCGATACATGCGCGAAGCGGGATTCGAACACATCACTCAAAAGTATTATCAGGTGCCGGTGGGCGGTTGGAGTACCGACTACACCTACAAACAGATTGGACTGTACAATCTGACCTTTATGGAAGACAGCCTGGAGGGATTTGCGTTGTTCCTCTTGAGAGAGATCATGGGCTGGGAGTACGCACGCGTCCAGGTCTTTTTGGCCGAGATGCGAACTGCGCTGCGGCATACTAAGAGCCGGCCGTATTATCTTGTGTAAGCATGCCTGCTTTTTTCGACTCTTTTTTTCAACAAGATCAGTGTGCTAATGCGTTTATAGGACGAATGCGTTTGCGCAGAAACCAGAGACTGCTACAAGCTAGAGGTAGTTCATAATTCATAATGTAGTTGCGATACCCTCGCGGGCGTATAAATGTGTTTAGGCGCTTTGAAATTGAAAACCTGTTGCCACTTCACCTCGTTTTTCAATCGTCTTATTATCCATCTTATTGTTCAAGTGTTGTATTGATATCAAGACTTGCTCAACCAATGACTTTGGCGTAACTTCTATATGACTCCTGGTACCATGCTGAAACTCTGCATTGGTTCAAGCCACGTCTTTATATGTAAATTTCTTGAGCCATATGTCCAATAGACTAGACACGTGGCTGATGCTTTCTTTTCCTTGCCGCATCCCGACGGTCCTGGTCCTCGCGGCCATGTAGCTTGCAATTGGGATATGCAGCAGCATGGCCAAGTCTCAACAGCGTCAAAGACCCAGCGCTCCTTTCCAAGTCCTGCGCACCACTTGAACAAAACCACCATACCTGCAGCGCCTACATATACGTTGGAATTAGCTAATTTTCCACCAAAGACGTGTACTATATGGGTATTTTGCCATTCCGGCGGCCTCACCCTCTCGCGCCGGACATGGAGGGACGAGCAGCCCAGCGATCAGGGGTTCCACAGTGCCGACGGCGTCGGGAGCACCACCAAGTCGACGCTGCCTCTTCCAACACCCTCCCAGCCCAAGGCAGCGCCCGACCAAAGCCCTCGGAAATGAACTGGCTCAGATCCCGTCCGGACACAAGCTGGATCTCCGCCGGCCCGGCATCGTCGTTCCCGAATCTGGGCGAAGACGCCGGCAGCCTCATCCGGTCGCGGCTCTGCGACGCCCAGCTCACGCCGGGGTGCAAAATCTTCCACGTCCCCAAAGACCAGCCCTCGCAGGCATCCGAGATGCACATCTCCCCCGAGAGTCTGGAGTCGCCTGTCGTGGGAGACGAGCTGAAAGATCAAGTCCTGGTGTTTCAGTACCGAGGCAACTTCCACGCAGTAGACCATGTGAGTTTTTCCCCGATACAGACCCCCCTTTTTTTCCACGACCAAGAATGTCGCTGGCTAATGAGGGCGGGATGGAAACCGTGCAGCGTTGCCCGCACCAGTCGTATCCTCTATCGAATGGGATCCCGTTCGACATTGAGGATTTCGGAGTTGTCCTTAGTGCTGGGCTGTCGTGCCCGAAACACGGCTGGTCGTTTGACCTGTTTACTGGCACGGCGGACCGCGCCGCTTACAAGCTTGCCGTCTGGGAGGTTCAGTTGCGTGAGAAGGATGGGGTCACGGTCGTTGATCGCAGAGGGGGCGATGATGTGGGCGCTCAAGATAGGACAGTATGGGTGAGACGGAAGCCTAGAATGGGCTGAGCGAGGTGGCCTGAGGGCATAACTTTGGACTCATCTCGATTGCTGTTCACGGCTGAGATGGTATCCGTGAGAATCGACGGGTCAGTCTTTGTCTGGTTGGGAGCAAACGGACTGGTCCTGCCCTGAAAGATGCTCATGCATCCTTGTTTCAATGGGCTCAGCCCAGGGCAGAGGACAGCTACTGCTTGTGATATTGGACACGATGCAGACCCGAGTTTCGAATCGCTGTCTAGGGAGCGGAGCTCTTTTGCTACGGAACAAATACGGTCTTCAGAGAGGTACAATGGCTACGGTTCAAACGCTGTTCTATCGAGCTTCAATGGCCCCCACAACGCAGTTATGCCATTGACTAGAATTGGGGTTTGTTCTCCTTTCATGGCCGGCGGAACAAATCTTTTGTTAGCGTATAGGCCTGGGCTGCCGCACATGCCATGACTTTAGGCCGGTGGCAATCTATATCTCGAAGGTATAGAACATAAAGATAGGAGCATAGACGTGCTGCTGGATAGGGCGCATGGCGGCCAATGCCACCAAAGAACCTAGCTTAGAACATGTGCCGCAGGATGTTCTCGAATGTTCCGCTCGTGGAATACCAAAATGTCAGCTGTGAATGGATGGTACTTGTGGACACCATGCCATTACAGTATGCTTCTCATCGGGGTGTTTGTCTCGTAAATTGCGCGTCAAAGCTGGGAACCGTGTTCAATCAGGCTCAAGCCGCCGTTACCTCAATTTTCTATCTGGACGAACCACTGGTCAGCTTGGGCTGCTCCAATGGCTGCACATGACCAATTGAGTATAATCTTGTTCAGACATGCCAATTTCCTCCCACAGCCAAGCGGTTGATGGCCTGTAGTGTGTGACAATGCACACAATCAAGGCCATCGACTACAATCATGGCTGATAGGTTTACCAGAGATGCACAATTCATCACTACGAGTGAGGACATGGGATTGTCATCACAGTGGACTTACCAGCTCGAGAACAGATGTCCACAGCCATGCATAACGGCTATCCAGACATAATTTAATGGACATAAACAGGGTGCTTTGCGAGGGTCCGGGAGGACAGATTTGTTCGAGACAGCAGCATCCAGAAAGCGAGACGCACAGGCAAAGCTACCCAGCAATTGTTCAAGGTGGACGGACAATCGAAGGCTGTCGTACAATGTCACTTGCGTCAGGTCATCACCGCATCATGGTAGCCGCACGAGGGGCCCTCGTGATGATGGTTTTAGGCAAGGTTGAAGGGTTATTCTCGACCACGGCTCGAGATCGTCAGTAGCGTCGGGGTTGAGCAAAGTCAGGGCAAACTGCGATTTGTTTGCGAGTAGTGGTCTTGTTTGTTTGGAAAGGAGAAAAAAAAGAGTTGTTTCACGCTAGTTCCCCACCAGTGCGAAATATGTTCACCACAAGAATGGCATCATGTGACTTGTCGCGTGTCGCTGAACAGACTAGTACTCCGTACCTAGTCTCTCTATCCCAAATTGGCCAAGGAACCCTGCGCCCGATTTGGAATACGGAGTAACTTTAGCGGCTGCCGCATCTGCATCCTTTCGACGGCTCGGGGCGAGTAAACCTTCACTGCGATGGATGTTTAAATGCGTGATGAACTCTTTGGATAAAGTTCAGCCTTCGAGGATGTGTACATAAGGCCTCGGCTGCCCATTCACAGCCTGAGTGAACTTGACAACCTGAACAAAAGAAACCGAACCTCTCTTGCATGGAGTACTAGTACTAGTACGGAGTACTTCTAGGCGAATCCGCCCAGCTCCACTACGCTGTCCAGGGCCCCGCTTTTATCGGACATCTGCTCCCAGAGCGCGAGCCTCCACCTGGGCGCTCCATATGCTCCGTCCTCCACCACCGGCTGCATCACCATTCCTCACTCCTTGTTACAAAATACGTCGGCCAGCGGAGCAGCAATCGCAAACCACGTCGCCCTCGCAGCCTAACAAGCCATGTCCGACGACTCACCGCACAAACGAAAGCGCTCGCTAGGCGATACCGGTGACCGCGACCGCGACCAGAAGAAGATGCATCTCGGGGATAGCCGGTTGGGTATTGAGGACCTGCACCTGGACGTCGGGGAGAAATACCTTCTCTGCAGAACACGTACGTGACCCTTGCCCTGCTCCTCTGCCCGTGCCCATGGTCCAAGGCTCTCGTCGGTCGTCTCTCTAGGAGAAGTGTCCTGTTGTTAATCTTGATGCAGCACATCCCGAGCCTCTCACCAGGATAGCCCAAGACCTGTACGAGATGTGCGGCCTCACCAGCCTCGCCGCCGAAGTAGCGCGAGAGAAGCCCAACGGGGAGAAGAACGCTTTACGGAAAACATACAAGGGTCACATAAAGCGATTAGGGGTAGCCGGTCATTTCGACGTCCAGAAGAAAAAGGAAGACGCGCCCTCAGAGTTCATGGCGATCCTCCAAGTCCCCGAGCTGGAGTGGAACGTCCATCAGGTCAAAGGTCGCGAAATTACCGACGGGTTATCCGCGACGACGCTCTCGAACCTTGGCCGTGCCATGAACATGTCCAAGGGGCCCATACCCAAGCCGGTCTGGGACTCGTCGGTGCTGGGAGACTTGGCACCGTCCAGTGGCAATGCGTCAAAACCAATCTCTGCGAAGCCATCAGCGCCGGGCACCCCCTTAGCTTCAACACCCAATACGATAGGTCGACCAAAACCTCCGATTCTTGCTGGGCAGGACCCCAACCGGCCTCGGAGGAATGTCAAGAAGCGATCATATGGCGATAGCAGCTTCGAAGGGTATGGCGAAGGATACCCCGATGACGACGGAGGCATGGATACTGGATACTCTACGGGAGAAGGCGAGGGCGGTCAAAAGCGTCGGAAAAAAGTAGGTTATGACAGCACAAACGGCAACGAGTCACTTTCGTCTGACATGGCCTTGAAGAACACGGCAGCGTCGCCACCTAATGCTCTCATGCGTCAACAAAGTTACGGCCCGGGCATGGTCGGTGCTTGAGAGGTATTAATGTACACTTGTATATAACTAAACCATAAAGGAGAGATTTTATCCATGATCCAAATACACCAAAAGAAACAAAAACTCTATGCCTGGTTGTCCTTCAACTCCGTCATCTCACATTGTCTCATTCAGAATATTGCGTCCAATATCATGTGTTACCATTAATGGGGCATCAGGTGCTCATGCTGAAACACAAGGACGTAACGAAGCAGACATCTCAACACCTCGGAGGGAATTCCACGCACTATACGCCAGTTGTGGACAGATCTGGTTGCTCGCCACCATAGTTCCCATTCTCAACTGACGGGTAGGCACCGCCGCTCATTTCGGCCCAGCTCCAATCCAACGTCGCTGGAAGACCGAACAAGTCTTGTGGGAGCAGGGGCTGTGCAAAAGGCCGAGCCGTCAGTGGTACGGGTGGCGGGGACACACCAATGGCACCAAAGGCATTCATGTTGTTGTATGAGTCAAAGTCTCCATTTTGAGGAGGTTGCAACTCTTGCTGCCAGCTGGTTGAGCCGCCAGAGGGAGATTGACTATTCATCGACATGACTGCTGAAGGATCAAAGGAACCTCTTCTGTCTGCTGGACTGGTTGACGTGAGACTTGCCAGCGCATCTCTGGAGGCAGAAGAGATGGAAAGATTGTGTGGCGTTGGCGTGGGTGTTGTCGCGGTGGTAGGTCTGGGCGTTTCTGAGGATGCTGTCTCGCCCGGCGTACTTTGTACAGATGGCTTGCTGGAAGAGTTTGTTACAGTGCTGTTTTTCGATCCCGAGTCTACATTCTTGCGCTTTCGCCTAGAAGACTGCTCCTTTTCTGCCCTTTCAATCACCACTTTAGAGATACGTACGAATTCGGAGCATATGCCGAGCATGCGGTGCACGCCTCCCTGTTCAGCCTCTTGGCCCAGCATCGATAAGAATGTAACAACAAGGTCCATCAACTTTGTATCAGACTTGGCACGGGGGTCAAGGGGATTTTGAAGAATGTTGCTGAACAAAGTCATGAGTGCTGACACGGGAAAGTAAAGAATGAGCCTGGTCATGTATTGTTAGCTCTGTACCTGTCCTGTCATTAAGACTATGACTTACCAAACGCATGAAAAGTCACCTTGTGGGACATATTTCAGCAGAGAGATTGAGGCTCGAGCGGCTGCTGTGCACAGTTGAGCGGAAGAGAAAACCCTTGGATTCAGAGGCCTCGAATTCAAGCCTTGAATGGCATAGTTTGACAGTCTGCTTGTCCAATAACCATGGTGAATTGACATGCGATGAATAGTCGTCAAACAGTTGTAGTACGTGAAATGGAGCATGACAACATGCAATATCAACGGTGTATGGGACGCCTTTATCTCATGTTCCGGTCGAAAGTCAACGGGAATTCTGTCCTTCCATTCCTCCAATTCCTGGTCCAGTTCACCGATGGTATTCAAAAGCTCTCCATCGGATTGTTTCGTCGCTTTTGTCGAGTACAGCCGCTTGTAAACATTACTTTCAATAACAGTAAATTCACAAATAACACGGAAGAGGTTCATTTTGCCCTTTCCATCCGCCAGAGGGATGTTTCCAATGTTGTCGGGGGGGTTGGCGTCCGGAAGCTCCACATTCATATCGTCATCATCTTGTGCAGCTGGCCGTCCAGATCGAAGGCATAGGTCCTTGTCTAGCATGTATGCAATCCAAAATACTCTCTTTCGTTGTTCGATTTCGATGGGGTTCAAGTTGAATCCCGTTCCACGTTTATGAAGTCCGATACTGTGCGAAAGCCTAATGGCGGCAGCAATCAAGAGGGAGGTGGGCTGAGGATTCGGCGTTCCTTGCATGAACAACGCCATGCCAAGCAGAGCCTGCACACTTAGTAAATCCGTGTTCCGCATAGTTAGCTCTGGAAATACTGCCATGGCGTTTTTCAGATACGCCCAAGCCTTCTCATCCTCCTCCTGCGGCACCAGGTTGCTCATGACCCGTAGGCGATGCGCGATGGCCAGTGCACAGTTCAAGCTTGCCCACCATCCGGAGCCTTCATACGGATCAGACGAGTATTGTCTCTCAACTAAATGCATGAAAGTCGGTTGGTGAAACAGGGGAAACATGCAGTTGAAGTTCTCGAAGTAGTCCTGTAAAAGGGACATTGCCTCATTTTTCGGCGGCAGCGGCCTGAATACCCGTCGCTGGAACAGGTCACCGAAAACTTCAGGCTTCCAGTTCGTCCATTTGTGATCATCCACAGATACCTCAGATATCATCTTGGCAAATGAATCGTCCCCAGTACGCCCGTTGACCCACTGAATACCCTTTGGTGAGAAGATGGAAAAGCCCGAAGACGAGCCAATGTATCGAGTTTCGCCACATTGATTGGTAACAAGAGAACACATCATCTCCGAAAGGGCTTCGACCTCTTCTTCTCCGTCACCTGTTCTCTCATCCCCGGGCGTTGTGGATTTGCGTTTCTCGTCCTTGTCCTTGTCCTTGTCTTTGGTTGGATCGGGCGATGTGAGAGCACTCTGTGGTGTCGAGGCGGTGCCATCCTGCCCTGACGTTGCCTGTGAAGGAGAAATGGGACTGGTTGCAACAGTCGAGGCCTGGCGTGATTTCTCTGTCAATTTCTTCTCCAGTGCGCCCAAGTCGGTACCGCTGTCATCCTCGCTCAGCAGGCCTTTTTTGCCATGGCTGTTAGTCATCACATATGTCAATGCTCATTCTGGCATCGAAAAGTTGGCGTACCTGAGAGTCGCAACAAATGCTCCATGCGACCCAACCTATTCTCTAATCCTTCGATATATTTGGCTCTACGAAGATGTACGTGTTAGCAGACATCCGAGAACTCGTTAAGCTAGCTTGAGCCAGTGTCGGTTATATGACGAGGGGAACCAACCCTTTGGGAGGACTTCGCTTCTTCTCCACTTGGGTGAAGACACAATCTGTCTTGTAGTTGATGCAGTGAGTGCAGGCAGGCAGCTTGCCGTCACACTTGATCTTCTTCTTCCTACACATGTCACAAGCCTTATGACCCCATGCAGCATTAGCATTCAGCTCGACAGGACTGAGCGTGGAATTTTTCTCACCCTCGCAATTCTTCTTCTTTTGGCTTCGTTCGTGTCTTCCATGAGAAGATGGGTGTCGGGAAACATGTGTGCAGCCAGGTCAGCCGGTATCTGAGGAGCATTGGGTAAACCATCCGGGCCATATCCGCCAAATATCTGGGGCGGTTGGTTCATGATGGGCGGTGGTCCCATGCCGGGTATCTGAAAGTTCATGTGGTCCATGGCAACAGCAACAGTATGTATAGGCGTCTGGAAGCAGGGGACTATCGGCAGACTTGATGGACGGAAGGGCAAAGCTCAGAGAGCTGGTTTGGAGCGCATGCACGGAGGGGGGCAAGTTTGGCGCAAAATGGCGAGGCGAGCAATCGATCGTGGTGGCTCGAGCTTCCTGTGCGAATTTCTGTCGTTGTAGAACCTCTCGAGTGCGGGCCAGTTTCGCGGCCGGCGATGGCTTCTGCAGGTGCGTGTGATGCAGCACGGTGGAATTTTGATGTCGAGTCAGGTCCAACGACGATGCGGAACTGGGCGAGACACAAAAAAAAAGAAGTTGCCAACGGTGGCACGGGGTTGGGGGAGACGGTTTGGAGAGAAGGGGGAGGGCCAGTGGTTTGTATTGGTAATTGCAAAGGTAGGCTGGAGAAGGCGTATTCGGATGCCGATCTAAAACAACCATTCGATGGCTCAACGCAGATGGTGTGAGTGGCCACGGGGATCTTAAGTCCTCAAGGGAAGTCTGGGACTGGCGGGGGGCACGGACTGGCGGAGTGGCCTGGTGGATAAGCACGGCGGCGGACAGCAGTCAAGCCTGGTCAACGGGTGTCGGGCAGTGAATGACGGGTGCACAGGGCTGGCCCCAAAAAAAGCCAGGGTCTGGCGGCTCAACCGTCTTGTCAATTCTAAATAAGCCAACACGGGCGTCAAGATTCCGGCTGGGGCGAAGAGTTCGTGGATGGATGGGCGCAGGTTGGCAGGCGTACTGGTGCCGTGTTCAGAGAGGGAATCGGAAGCTTACAATGATAAGTACGAAGAAATCCAAGGAAACTTTGGGATGGAACATTGAACGAGCAGCATGTGAACCAGCCCAGCTGAGAGTGCATCCGGATTGGCCGGCAACCAGACAGGCGCCCAGTAACTCAGAGACTCAACCGGTAGCAGGCAGGGACCTGCAGCCCTGACGCCAGGCCTCTGGTTCGATGCGACTTGTGATACCGAGAGACCTGACAACGGGTTTCCCTCTGGACCTTGGGACTTTTGTCACCGACTACATTGACTTTGGAGGCAAAGCCTATGTCGAGGCAGCCAGCCCACCTCCAGGCCTGTTGGAGCCAAGCCGCACCGCTCTTGGACGGCATCTCGCCGACACGATCATCAGGATTGACACTTGGAGTTGTACAACCACGTACATGTACGGAGTGCCAGTTGAGGCTGAGAGGCCCTTGCACTGGCAGAGAGGAGTCTTGACTCTTGACCACGCATCAAGTGAACCTGCTTCTCAAACCAATTGACTCGTTTTGCCCACGTCAGTTTACCACACTCTCGGATCCTGTTCCGACTTTCCCCAGTGCCCTGGCCACCCCACGGCTCCGTTGTTGACCATGTCCGCAGCATGACACTGCAAGGCCAACATGAGACGAGAACGCATGATGCCGTTTGTCTTCAACCGCTTCCGCCATGGCCGGTAGTATGTACTGACGTATGCCCCTGTCCACCCGACTTTGGCGGTGGCAATGCCAATGCTGGCCAACGATGGTCAGATCTCATCATTCACGGCTCGTCGAGAGTCTCGTCGACCCCCCTTTACCAGCCTTTTCGCTATTTGCAACACTAGGGACTGATAGCTACCTCGACTATGCAGGAGAGTCAACTTTTTTTCCGCAGTCGTTACAACTAGCGAGGTATCGCGTTTCGAGGTTATCGCCTTGTTACCTAGCTGCTCCTAGCCTCGGCCCAGGAGCACAGCTGGGGAGCATGTTTGACGTTGTTTAACAAGACCAGCAGCCAGCTTTGGGCTGATACATCCCAGCCCCCATTGAATGCCAAGTGCTCCGTGTCTGGCGGAGCTAACCTTGGCGCGACCCTATGTATCCTCCTGTTCCTGCTGACAAGAGGAGTTCGGACATGGACTATGTGCAACAGGGCCTGTTAAAACGTAAGGGATACATAACCATTCGCCCACCTCTGCTGACATTTTGCACCATCAAGCACGTAGATGCGGAAAGAAGGAATTCTTGGCAAAGAAAAAGAACGCGTGGAATTGCACGTGAAACATGATCTCACCTATCTATTCATGCGCTCTCTACACCTGTTTGTAATGGACAACGGCAAAAATAGCGTGGCAAAAATAAAATCTCCCAATCATTGATAGCATCTTACTTCTTCAACAGAGCCTAGCGTGAATTCCTCTGCAACGTCAACTCCGTAAACTCCGCTCCTAGACCGCAGGCAACAGGGTCTACAAGCTTTCTCGCCTGGTCAAGTTGAGGAACCCCTAATTGCGGAGTGGCTGTGCACTTTTGAGCGACAGGGAGCAAACCGCAAGAAAGGAAAACAGTCAAGTATTTGTCATGGATAAAGTGTCAAGTCCAGTCGAATAGAAAAAGGCGTTGGCCTTTGCATAATTCCGCTTCTGCTCCTCCAACCCGCCCCACGTTCCTGTTTCAGTTCTGGTCTCAGACTTGCGGCAGCAAAAAAAGGGCTTGTGCGCCCGTCATAACCTACAAACCACCAACTAGCAATGCGCCAAAACGTCGCCGGCAGTCGCACAGAAAAGGTAAACCGCCCCCCCATGCTGCAGATTACTGCCGGGCCAGAGATTCGCCAAGCCTTATTCCCCGGTGGTTGAGATGCGTGCCCGATTCCCTGAGCGCGGATTGTGCGGCCTTTGCGTTTTGTCGCACCAAGTCGCAGTGCTGTGGCTGGCCAAACGTCAGCCAAGTGCCGATATGCGACCACGTGCCGCATCGTTGTGTCAGATGCGCAAATGATTCCAAAGCATGCATGTCGATTCATGCCTCGATTGAAACGAGCATCATGGCAGTGAAATCGCTGACGCTGTTGCTCTGTGATTGGTTTTTTATTTATACTTTTTTTTTTTAAAAAAAAAAATCAAAACCTTTGCCACTTACACATCTACGCGAAATGAACGTGCATGTCCTACTTGGTACCTAGGGTAGGTACTTAAGTATGATGCGTCAAAGTCATGTCTGGTTGATAGCAGCACCTGGCGGTCAGATGATATACCATTGGAGCCTTGACTACAAGCACGGCAGTAGTTATTTGCACGCATCAGCTTGTCAGACTTCAAAATGGTCAACTCAACCTCTCTAGCTACAACCAGCCCCAACTATGACATCACGGATAAATACACAAGACTCGTAATTAAACACGCTTTTTGATTCATAAGCCTTCCCTTCATATTAATAAACCAATGGGCTCATATCAAACGCGGATAACGACGTCAGAAATTGCCCCAGTTGGTAATGAGGGGTCGAGAGCCCCGATGTGATGAATACACGAGCATCTAAGACGCGACAAATATGTACATAGAAGGCTCTAAATAAATCTTGAAAAAATTGAATAAATACGCAACTCGCCGGCTGCAAGATGATTGTTCAAAATATAACAAGAAAGGGTCCAGGAGAGCAGAAAAAGTCTCCTCTAAATTTTTTCTTGAAATTTTGACCCCGAAGCTCTTGGGCTTTCGCGGGATCCCAGCGTCCTCGTTGATAAATTGTTAGGTGAAGCAGGCGGATCGGCGAACGGGTTCTGGGTGATAGGTATCCTTGCTGGGCCGGATCGAATGATAGGGACGCCGCTAATAGGTCGCATGGGCACTCCCAAGGCGAATTGTCCTTTGCCTGCAGATGTTGGCGCGAATGCCTGCGAGCCTCGATGGTAGTCTGAACTACCGCTGGTTGCGCTTCCTCTAGGATCAGAATATCCATCTCCACCGCTGTGCAACACTGATGGAAGTTTTCTGCCCGAAACTCGGTAGAATCCCCGTTCACCACTGTCTGCAGAGTGTGAGGTTTGTGGAGCTCGTTTTCCCGTCAGGCTAGCGAGAGTGGCAGCCACGGCCCCGGGGGCTGCTGCCCGTTCCGCCATGGCTCCTCCTGACCCGCTGTCGCCTGATGTACCATCTCCAAGGGTTCGCGAGGTTGCCCCCCCTGATTGGCTGTCCAGTATGGTAGAGCTGCCCTTCCTCTTCTTCCACCGCAGAAACAACATCAAGAGTAAGCCAATGACTGCTACGCCGGCCACAGCACCAACTACACCACCAATTACCTGCTTCTGCTGGGGCGTCAGGCTGTCTCCGCTGCTAGAGCCGGCTTCCGATTGCGTTGTTGGCAGGCTGCCGGGAACCGTGATCGTGCCATAGCCATTGCCCGGTGCGGTCGTCGTCGCCGAAGAAGATGACGTCGATGGCGATGACGATGGCGATGACGATGACGACGACGACGACGACGACGACGACGATACCGACGACGAGAAGGAGGACGAGGTCAAAAAAGAGGACGAGGAAGTCAAGTGGGTGGAGTGGGCAGATGTCGAAGTACTCTTCGTTTCCGAGGTGGTTGACGAATCGGTTGTTGACGAATCGGCTGTTGATATCGGCACAGAGGTGGAAATTAATTTATATATTGATGAACTATTTGACGGTGTAGCAAACGACGAGTTGCTAGGAAAGGCGGCTATGGGATCCAAGTTAAAAAAAATGATACGTGCCATGATGATGCAACAAGGTGACAGGACGGAGACGGCTTACAGCTTGTTGAGTTTCGAATGTCGCCTACGCTAGGGTAGGCGGGTTTGACAGTGGCAGACGAAGGTGTAGATGTGAGAGTCGGGCTCAGCGACGTTGGCGTAGCAGAATCGAGAGACGAAGAGGAATACGTGCTCCCGCTTGGGGTAGGCCCAGGAAGGGCTACGGTTGATTCGGGGCCGCTAGAAATATCGATGGTTTCGCCAGTCTTGGGATCAACAACAACGGTGTTTGGCGGCGAATAGATGGTCTTGGTCTCATAGGTCGAACCCCACGGGTCAACATATTGAACGAGCGAAATAGTCTGACGGACATGGGTAACGAGAGAAGTCTGCTCATCACCTACAGCATTGACGGCAACCGGTTGGGAAGTTTCGCTCGCATCGCGCTTGGCGAGAGCATTGTTGGAAGAGTCCAGCTCGACGTTGGCTCCGAGGTGATTCCCGAAGCCGTTGTCGCTAGCTGCGTCGTCGCCGAAGGACTGTTGTTCTGGGTCATGCGCATGGAGCGGGCGATGTCGAAACCGGTGAAAGAATGAATGAGAATGGGAATGGGAACGAGAGTCGCGGGCCTGAAGGAGTGAAGACCCGTGCGATGGTTTAGTCATGGTGGCCGCAGGGAGCTGCATGAGCGCCAGTGCGCAGTGCTTGAGGCCAACGACGCCGGTCGTATTCCAGCTGCGGGGGCCTCTTGGCTGACGAGGATGCAGAGGCCCAGGCGGGTTTGCCCAGACGGACAGCGGGCTGGGCGAAACAAACGAATGGGGGGTTTCTAGTTATGCAGCGCAGGCACCGTCGTCATGATTGCCACAGAGAACGTCGATCAATGGAGAAACAGCCAACTCTAACGAGCAATGGATTGTCGAGTTTGTCGTTGTCGGCGCCGTATACCAGATTTCGATCGGTCGTTGAATGTTTGATGCTGCTGCTTGGCCAATTAGGTGCTGGTGCGCTGGCGTGCGCAGAAAAGAATTCGCCAGAGCGTGAAGTGAACGAGTGGCTTGCGGCACCGCTGGGCCGCTAAACAAGAATGACGACTTAAAGAATGGAGAGAAAGTAACGATGCTGGAATTGCCGTGTTGCTCACGACGAGTTCATCGGCGACGCCCAACAGTCGATGGAAGAGCAAAAGGGCATCGCGAGGCGACGGGGTATCACAACAGCCTGGAGGGGGAAAAGGAAGAGAGGAAGGAACAAGAAGCCCAAGGTGCGAGACTTTGAGAGGAATCACGCAGCCGTAGGACAACACAACCGCAAACGAATGAGTGCAGACTTGTCGTGGGAAAAAATGAGAGACAGATTAGCACTTGCAAGCATTGGACCACGCAAGGCCCGGGCCATGCATGGCTGCGTCTTGGGTCGGGTCTTGGGCCGTATCCAGACTCGATGCCAGTTGATGGCACGAAAGGTAATTTCGCTTGCAGGGGGTTTCTGGGTGCGCCAACACGGCCAGGGCCGGGGCCTGTGACCAATCAGAATTCACTGTAGTCAGAATTGGACAAGGTGATGCCAACAGAGGTGGAAGTTGGCTGCAGAACAGGCACCGAACATGCATGCAAAAGTAATAATAATATCTGGTGGTTCCCTACGGTACTCCGTACACACAATTACCGACGAGCAGCTACTCCGTATTCTTGGCTCCATTTCATTGTACAATCCGTGCGTGAGCAGCTCATGATGTTGTGCATACTCCGTACATGGAGTCCAGACATGGAGTGTCTAGCCTCCGATGAAGCCAATTGACACATGTGCAGTCCCTCCGGATTCTCCATGTCCAGGCCAAGGTGGTTTGTACGGAGTAGGAGTAGTGTTAGTATTGGTCCTGCCGCACAACCGGCCATCGTCCACGACGCTAAAGGGAGAGCGTAAATTGAGCATTATGCTGGCAAGCCAAGCGCCGCGGCATATGATGAGGGCGATGATTAAAACCCCGAGCAGGTTTTGGCGGCGGAGTTGAGGAGGATCAAGGGCTACAAGACCGAAGGGTTACCTGCATCAACCCCATCAATTGATTGACCCCATCAACACGAGGCCCCAACTCGACAAGTGAGGCCCGGGACCTCTCAACCTGAGACTCTAGATCTGGAATACGAACAGCGTTGGATGCACTGCCGACGCACGCAATGGCTCGCGTGTACGGAGTACCAAGTCCTGCGTTTGTTGTTTCCGATGAGCACTCGCCTCGTGGTGCCCATGTTTTCGCCATGTTGGTTCAATGTTGCAAATTAAAGGCCCGCGACCAAACAAAAAGAGCAGTTGCGAACTTGCGTCTGTCCGCAGCAGCGACAGGGTTCCTACCGTGTGGCCAATTGAAGAAGCTGGACCCAGTGGCCGGGCCCGCTCTTGTCAATTTGTTCTCGGGGATCAACTCACAGGCTCATGGGTATCCTGGCTTCCAAACTCTGGTTGCGTCGCGTCTGAACTGCACAGACGAAGCAACCACCAGAGCATTGTCGGATTGTGATTGGCGCCGCCCAACGTCTATTGGCCTTGGTGAACGTTGCAATGAATATTGAAACAACTTTGCAAAGCTACTTAAGCACAGAGGCATCCTCCATGTTGCACCATCAGCCGTCAAGGATGCGCTGTGACCCGCTGACATTCAAGTCTGCACAATCTGACGATTGCTGGAGTCGCTTATTGTTGTCTTCATTCCATTGCGCGTGTCATTGAAGCTCAAGTACGGAGTACGTACCAAGTATAACATGGAGCAGCATTTAATACTACCACGTACTAGTACTAGTAGTACAACTCCGTACTACTACTTGTATTGGCGCTGTCTTGCCCTTTTCTATTAATAGTGGCACCACGCGCTCTTTTCATTTCCACCTGGTGTCTGGATCAAACGTCCCGTCTCCTCCCTCGCCTGGACTGGAGGGGTTGGTGGGCTCTGGATTGGTTCATCTTGGTCGATTGTTTTTCAGTGTTCCGTAGTTACTCCGTACTCCGCAGTAGACCAGTTGCCTGACAGCTGGACCCAGCAGGACCGGAAACGGTTGCGTGTGGGGCTCCACGCAATCCTCCGACCTCAGCATTGAAGCGCTGTGTTTTACTCCGTAGGTGCTTGTCATTTTGGGTTTGGCTGAGATCAAGTGATGGGATATGGCAACCTTCAACAGATCTAATGTTGATGAGATCTGCAGTGTCACAGCCTGTCAAGACGTCTCGGGGATATTTGTTGTTGAACATGCTTACACGGCCTATATCGGTGTGTGACCGGGGAGGCCAGCATACCAACCAGTCGAGGACCCCTCAAGTTCTCCGACAAACAAATTTGTTGAATGCGTCACATTCTGGCCACGAGCCATTGACGGCTCGTCCATGACATCCATCTGCCACATCCATCTGCCACAACCATCACAGGCACAATGTCCTCACCTCCGCCACTTCCTCCCCGAACCCCTTCCCGCCTCTCGCCGTACCCTCTCGATAATCCACCCCTACATACCTCCGACCCGCGCACCTCATCAACCCAATCCCTCGTCCCCTCCGAAGCATCGCTCAGCAAACGGAGGCTCCTCATAGTCTATATCCATGGCTTCTACGGAAACGACCAGTCGTTCAGGTCCTTTCCCGCACATGTTCACGCGCTGTTGAAGGAGCTGCTGGCCGAGACTCATGTGATCCATTCCAAGATATATCCGCGGTACAAGACGTACAAGGCTATAGAGGTCGCCAGGGATAACTTTAGCGCGTGGTTGGAACCGCACGAGGGCGACGGCACGGATGTGGTCCTTGTTGGGCATTCGATGGGGGGGCTCTTAGCTGGTGAGGTTGTTTTGATGGTGAGTTTCTTGTCATGCCGTGCGCCATGTTGCATTGACCGCCGCCGCGTTTTGTTAGTCAGTATGAGGTTGTGTGAGAAAATGCCCTGTCGTGCCTCTTGCCTGTGTGCTTTCCCATGTTAGAGTACAATGTGTTATTCATGCTATCACTCGGGAAACAAGGCGAATATGCTGCTAACCTTGATAGCCAAACACAAGTCCGTACAAGACGCAGCCCTTCAAGCATCGCATCTTGGGCACCATTGCCATGGATTCGCCATTTCTGGGACTACACCCTGGCATTGTAGTTTCAGGTATTGCGAGCTTATTTCAACCCTCGCCGAATCAAGGGGACCTGCAGGAGCAGCAACAGCAGCCAGGACAGGAAAAGCTCAGCGCGTCGCCTGATTCCGAGCCATGTTCCTCATCTGAGAGACTGCCATCCATCGACTCACGGATTGACCCGATGGACACGGGAGCTTCGCCACGTCCGCAGCGACAACCTACAGATCCCCATTTTGATCCACCTTATTACAATGACGCCCCGTTCCTGGAGAAGCCTTTGGTCAAACGTCTCATCCACTTCACGGCCAAACATAAACGCGAAGGGCTGCTAAACGCGGTGGGAAGACACATTACGTCGCACTTGGAATTTGGTGGATGTCTGGCAGATTATCGTGGTTTACATGTGCGCTATAACCGACTCCGGGCACTAGAGGATGTTGATGAGATCGAAAAGATAGCCCAAGGTCACCCGACTGGTGCGTATGCCAGAGTTCGGTTTGTAAATTACTATACTTTGTCTCCTGGTCGACCGAAGCCAGTCAAAGCCGAAAATGAACAGAGCCAGGAAATACGGGCAGAGCGGAACTCTGTAGACCTGCAGCTTGCGGAGCTTGATATCCAGGATATCTCAGCCTCAAAGAGTCCGGGTCCCCAAATACCAAATACGCCAGAGAAGGAAGGGGAAGAAACCATCCAGTTGGGCGCAAATCCAGGTCCCCAAATAGAAGACACTGTCGAAACTAGCACCATACAAGATGCACAAAACCAAGGAGAGGAACAGCACGAAACCCCGGCAGAGGATACCCTCGAATTAACTTCAGACAATGCTTGCCGAATATCGATGCAAGACATAGACCCCATCCCGTTTTTCGAAGCCGAAACCAAAGAATGCCAGAGCCAAACCGTAACCGCAAACACAAACACAACGGATGACCTCGATCTCCCCCCTATTCCTGACCTCCCACGCAAACCCACCTTCCCAGATATAGACGCCAATCTCGACAAGGACGCCAAAAAGCAAGCTGAACGGGAATCAAAACGCCTCCAAAAAGCCTACGCACAAGCTGTCAAGGACCGCGCCAAGGCGGTACAGGAGCGCGAAAAGGTGCTCGAGAGGAGACGCAAAAAGGCTGCGAAAGAGGCGGAAAAGCAGGCCAAGGACGCCGAGAAGACGAGAGCAAAACTAGAGAAGCAGGTAGAGAAACGGCGTGCCCGTGAGGAGAAGCAAGCCAGCGAGTCCGTTGCCGCGGAGGGACACGGAGAACAGGACGGCACCGAAGATGCAGAGAGGCCAAAGAAACTGAAGAAGTTTTGTGCCTTGCCGAGCAAACGGGACGGGGCGAGAGATCCAACCTGGGTAGATGTATACATGGACGGGCTAGACGAAGTCGGTGCGCACTGTGGACTGTTTTTCCCCGGACCGCATTACGACGGATTGGTCGGGGATGTGGGGAGTAGAATCGCGGCATGGGTTGGAGACGAGCTGACCAAGAGAGCGATATTCGAGGCTGGGTAAGGGCGATGCCGGTGTATGATGAGTCTGCACGATGGCAACTGTCATACTAGTACGAATATACAGAACACTACGGCTCGCCGATCTACGCAACGTAGCTCGACTATACTAGGTTATAACTTGTAGATGCCATCGTCTTCAGCAGTGTAACTACCGGCCCAATACCTCAGTTCTCTCAGAGTGCCACTTGATCTCAAATAGTGGCCCGTTCAAGACTGGCAGCATGTCTATCCCTCGTTCGCGTGGTACATCCATGATACTACTGAAGCGTCATGACGCTTATAATCCGTAAACCCGCAAAGACCGGCAGTATATGTATATAACTGATTATGTGGTATCTATCATAAGTAGTACAAGGAAAGTCAGTCGCTGTCCATCCGTTATCAATACAAGTCAAGTTCTCGTAGCCGGACACTCAGGTCCTTCTTCTGGCCCTCGTCCACCTCAACCCCCTTCAGAACAGCCTCCTCCGGGCCGTCTACAAACGCCTCACACTCAATCGCCACAGCGCCGAGCCGAATCCACGCACCAGCGTCTTCGCCCGACGTCTGTCTGCCGCATATCAAGGCCGTGGCCGCACAGTCAGTACCCCCCTTCCAGTTCCGCCCCGACACCAGGACGCCCAGACACGCAAACCCCGACGCCCCGTCCTCTTGTCCCGACAAGGACGCCGTGATCATGGCCTCAACAAGCGCTCTGTTTTCGCTCGCCAACGCAACGTCCCCCAGTTTCGCCTGCGCCTCCTCCACCGTGAACTCCAGGTCAAAGGAGAAGGTCTCGAGGCGCAGAAACGCAATGGCCTCGCTCTTCTTGGAAATGGCGTCCCCGTCAATCTCCCACGACAAGACGGCGGCGTCCTTGAACCCCACGGAGATCTCCATCCTGGGCGCCGCGGAGACGCCGTGCAGGATGGGCGACACACCCCCCACGAGGTTGAAGGCAAACTTGCTATCCGCGGCCGTGAGACCTTCTCGAAGATTCCAGGCCAGCCACGTCCACGACGGGAACGAAGCCGTCCTGCGGCACGACGGCTCGACCGACCCCGTCCAGTCGCAGATCCACCCCAGGCCGGCGGCCAGGCGATCCGTTTCGCTAACGACCCTGTTCGTCACAAAGTCGTCTGGATGAAACAGCGGCAGACCGAGGAAATGTTTCACCGCAAGGCCACCCATGCGCGCGTACTCTCGGAGGAGGGCCCGGAGGGCGTCGAGGCGCCCTTCGTTGTCGGCCAGGTCGCGGCACATGTAGGTCTTGATGAGGTCCTTGAACTGGCCGGGTTGCCGGGGGCATCCGTCGCCGGCTGGGAACACGCGCCCAAGGGAGATCGAGGGCGCGAGGCGGAGAGGTAGGGAGAGCGATTCGTGGCAGTGGAGGGTGCGGCACTGGAAGTACATCTGCGACGGGGTGAAGATGAGGCGGCGGCGGGCAAGCAGGCCCTCTTGAAAGGTCCACGCGCGGGAGGCCCATTTCGAGGAAGCGACTTCGAGATCAGGCCGCACGAGAGAGGTTGCGTAGAGGCCGGTCTTGGTTTTGAGGCAGAGCTGCTCCTCGCGGGGGGTGCTGAGGCCGGGAATGCCGCCGAGGGAGGTATCTTCTGCGGCGACGATGAGTGTCAGCAGGGACTGGGAGAATATCTCGCCCACGGCGTCGACCTGTTTCTGGCGCTCGCCAGCGGGGAGCGGTAGGCAGAACCGGTCGATCCAGATGTATCGACATCCAAGGCTGCGTGTAAATGCGATGGCGTCGGCGAACAACGGCGACACGCTTTCCGGTAAGCGGCCATCCGGGCCGAGAGTCGAGGCTGAAGTATCAGACGGAGCGTCAGGCGATGAGTCCAGTTCCGTCTGCGCCCACACATAGCTCAAGGCAAGATAGTCCGTCTCGCCACGGGCCTGAATCTCCTCGGCTGCGACGACGCGCATCTCGGTGCAGTCGACCAGCCTCAGCCCCCGTACCATCTCGACGGGCGCCATACACGCCGTGCCCGCGTGCTTCTCCCTACAGAAATCCAGCCAGCACCTTGGCAGCGCAGGATCAACCATGGCCGGCACGACCCTCGCTCTGATGCTCGCTTCGCCCTGCGCCTCGACGTACCTCGACCAGCCCTCGTCCTCGTCGGCCTTGACGAGATACCCCCACGGCAGGCTCCTCTTCCTGGTCATGACCTCGATCATGACGGAGCCAGCAAGCTCATGCCTCTCCCCGACGCCATCCAGCCGCTCAAACGCCCGTCTGATCCTCAGATACGGGTGAAACTTGGCGGTGCCGTCGCCCACGGCCGGCACAGGCCCAATCATGGCCCTGAAGAAGACGCAAAACGGACACTGCGGCGCGCCAGGCGGCGTCAGTCCCCTCTGCGAGTCGCCATCGGACGGCGGCGACGGCGGCAGCCCCGGCGGCGGCAGGAGAACATGCGACAGCGGCACCCACGGCCTCGGCTGCCCGTGTTTCCAGTCCAGCAGCCGCGGGAAGTCGGCGGCCGCGCACCGCGGACACGTCTTGGTGAGGAGCCCCCGGCGGCCGCTCTGCTGCCCGGCGTCGTCGTCCCGGGAGCCGTCGGCCACGACGCAGCCCCCGCCCACGCCGGCGCTCAGCTTGCGATGCGTCCTCGCCAGGGCGACCTCGCTGCCGGTGGCCCGTCGAAAGGGCAGCTGGTGGAAGCCCGTGGCCGCCGGCGGAGGCATGGCCGTGGGCGAGCCCGCGCGGCGTCGTGACCGTTCCGAGTCTGAGTCTGCGGCGTCATCGGGCCGCCGCCGAGACAAAATCCGCGAAATCTTCTTCATGGCGTTTCTTGTCGTCTGCAGTAGCCCATGGCGTTTACACTTCTCCCCGGCTCTGCTGATTTACATGGGACGATGCTTCATGCGTAAAAAATAATAATAATAATAATAAATTAGACCAAAAAGAATATTGAAAAGAAGAAATGTACAGAGAAAGGGACAAAAGAAAAAAAAGAACAGGTCGTTCAAGCGGTTTGGTTTACAGTTTGGGAACTATGGAGTACTGTGGCGATCAATAAATTTGTCAACCCACGCCGTCTCCACGCTTCCCTCCCCCCCGGCGGAAGATGGATGGCACTAGCTACTACTACTGGCAGGAAGCTCGAGTTTATTGGGCGTGTAAAATTCATTCTCCGATGAAATGGGTCCCCGAGGCGTTGGCGTTGACGAGCTGAACTTGTCCAACCGACACAGGGTCCCTTCAGGGTCGTAGGGTCCTTTTGGAAGAACGGATGAAAAGGCAGCCGTTGGTCGTTGGCAGAAGGCGTTGCAGGATACCAATCGGCCCCTGTTGGAAGTTCTCCAGCGACTAGGGAGGCCCCTTGCCAATATGCCAATTAAACAGCGAATGGGCTCTCGGGACTTTGCACCCGTCGCTGCCGCAGGACCTCCAGTCGACAATGTCGCCGTCGCAGACGTCAAGCCGCGGGTGTGAACAGGGCCTGGCGATTGGGGTTTTACGCAGACCAGGGGGCCGCAAAAGAAGTAAGACACAGGGGGAGATTGGCAATTTTTTTTTTCTTGACAGGTCAGTGGTTATTACGGAAGTGACATGGTGATTTCGTTGACAGATGCACGGCCGAGTGGGTTAAAAAAAATCCCGACAGGTTCGAGAAATGCGTAATTTCAAGCCAGATCCGCTATTGAAGCTGGGTATAAAGCAGGTTTACACATAGGACAGGGTATTGTCATCATTGATCTTCCCAGCAACTCCGAGACGGGCTTCGCCACCAGAGACACACGGCCCACGCGCCACAATCTGCAAATCCAATGTTAGCCATCGTTATTAATCCACTAGTGGGCGGAGGGAGCGGGTGAGCTGGTTATATACCTCGCCTTCGATGATATCGTCCGTAGTGTTGTGCTTTTCCGTGTCTTTGAGGTAAATCTCAACTGACGACGGCGGGACGCCAAAATGGGCCTCGATGCCAGGCGTGAGCCGGTAGTCAAACAAGGCGGTTTGTGCAACCGCACCAGCGACTCTCGCCGCAGTCAAGGCATACACTATCCTTGCGCCCGTATACACTCTCAAATCAGACAGTATCTGGGTTGAAAGCAGCGGCGTGTCGCCGCCAACACGCTCCGCCACATACACAAGACGCAACTTTCCAGGTGCCGTGCCAATGCGAGGGCGAGTCCCGGCCGCAAAGGCAGAGAGAAAGTTTGTACCTCCGTGGACGCCGCGCTGTGTGAGAGTGCTGGTAGCCAGGGAGTGTGAGAGCTTGGCTAGTCCACCACCGAGGCGGCGAGTGGATTCTTCATGCGTGCGAAGCAAGGTTGCTGGGCTGGCGACAATGACGGTAGGCGCTACACCCTGCGTGGCCAGAACGAGATCTGGCGATCGGCCAGCCACCGAGTTGAATGCCACCGAAGAGTTGGAGTACAAGGCCGCAAGAGTGAGCGTCAGTGTGTGCATGTTGGAGAGCGACTCCGCGGGGAGGAACAGGTCAGCCTGAGTGAGGCGTTCTCTCGTGGGAATGGCTGCGATTTGACCAGATATGCCCGAAGCCAGGTTCGCCTGCGTAAATCGCACCATTTCTTCTAATTCGCCCTGCTTACCTTGCCAGAAGGTAACAATGTCACCCGGAGCGCCGGTACTGTCCTCAGAAGCGGGCAACTCGGTTCCAGCTGCTGCAGGAGTATCGTTCAAGAGGTCCTGCCAGGTAGTCACGTTGACGGCCGAGCCCATGCCCTCGGGGACATCGTTCCAGTCCATGTGGCGACTGCCTTCGTCAACGACCCAGATGAGCTGCCGGAGAGACGGGTAGGCATTGACAACAGCGTCGAGAGGGAATGATCCCGTGGCGGTGACAACAGTGTCGACAGCGGAGCGACGGAGCATAGAGATGAGTTCCGACTCGCTGACATCGAAGGGGATAAGGACTGCGGTGAGGTTCGGGTAAAACGAACAGGCGAGAAGAGTGATGAGATGTTCTATGGAGTTGGGGAGATAGATGGCCACTTTGATGGAGCCCTGTTCAGCAATGTACCGGCCGATAATATTAATCTGGCGATTGATGTCGTCTACAAACGGCGTTAGCATAAACATGTACTTGGCAAAAGTTGACCGTGAGCAGGAGTGTGATGGGCGAATGTAGATGGACGAAAGATAAAAAAAGAGCAACGCACCCATCTTATGTTCGATCACATTCTCTGATCCCAACACAGTTAACAGTCGTCCTCTGGCACCGGCATCACCGCTGACTGCCTTTCTCCAGACATCGCGCAAATCGCCATCCCGTCCGCGCGAAAACTTGGGCGCACCAGGATCCTTGACATTCAACCCAGCATTGAGTGCCATGCCATGGGGCGCAGACTGCGAGCGGTACACAGCACTCTCGCCTTCCTTGCGGACCGACGACGGCATGGACTGTCTGGCGAGCAGTAGAGGGTGGGCATCTGGCTCCGTTGCGGACATTATACGATAGGTGATGAGCACGACGAGCGTGGTCGCCAACGCGGTCGAGTAGCCGTTCCATTGGCCGAACAGATCCGTGATGGACGAGTCGAGCGATTCGAGGAGACCCATGATGAGGGCGATACGGAGGGACGGTTTCTTGGTGAGGACGATTGGGCTGTTAGATGCTTGCCCAGGCGACAGGTGCGTCTGGTGTGCAATCCGCGACAGGAGTTGATGACAAGAGGCGCTCTCCAAGGCCCGGATGGATGGTGGTTTGGGTTGTGTTTTAACTTTTGGGCTTCCGAGGCCAACGGAGACGGAACATTGAAGTGGGGGAACCAAGCGCTGATCTGTGCCGTCGACTTGTGACGAGCTGCAGGCCTCGAGCCGTCAGCCGTGAGCCGTGAGCTGCAAGCTACAAGCTGCATGCCCGAGGCGGGAAATGACGCGAGACTCGAGTGGGCGTCCTCCTCCAAAGAGCTTTGGCTCGGACGCATGGAGTGCAGGACTGCGCTTTGAATGTCCAGATTGAGATTGGGCTGCCTGCGCCTGGTGCCACGAGATAAGCTATTTGATCCCCTTGGAGCACAGCGAAGGCTCCAACAATGTATTCCAAGGATTATGACCGATGCATAAGCAGTATCACTTTAAGCCTACATAAGTATGTACCACAAAAGAAAGGTCGATTCGACAATTCAATCACCGTGTTCAATGTTCTGCTGGGGCTTCCAGGGCCTTGCAGCGGGAGATACTTCGCTAGAGCCTTCAATTGCTTCTCCAAGGATCATCCCGCTGGGATCCGGTCTGGCATGCAGGTTAGGCTTGCATTGTACTAGTACCGCGGAAAGGCAACGTACTCGGCGCATACATTCGGGCGGTGAGGGGTAGTTGACAAAAGAAAGCAAAATGCAAACTGAAGCACTACGTCGACATCCGTCCAGTTGTAATCTAGACTACTAACTACACATACTAGGCAGTTACTATTCCAAAGCCACCAACTTCCTGCCTGAGAGCTAGTAATACGGAAGTAGTATTATAGCCCAGTTTGGGAAAGGTTTAGTCGAAAGTTTACATGCTCCCTATACGTTTTGCAGTCTGGTCCAGTAGATAGGGTTCGGATAGCATCAATTGATGTTTTAGTGCTGCTGGTCTCTAGAGATCAATGGCTTTTGCTGTTTCGAAATTTGCTCAAATTTCTCGGCAGGTCCTGGAACCCAGTCGGATCCAGAAGGACAGCCATGTGATGGAAGGACCGCTTAAAGGTCAAATCTGATAATAAAAAGAAGGAAGCCGACTCAATTCAATACATATCTCTAGTAATAAGACTTCTATTTGTATTCTAACCAGTTTGACTCTTGGCACGTTGATTCCGGCCACATAATAGCTGCATCCATCAAAACCACCAGACTCCAACAGCGGGCGACTAGATTTTGCTTGATGGGCGGCCGCCCCACAGGTCTGGTACATTTTGCACATGCCAACTTTATAGCAGTTACACTAAAGAGTAAATACACTATCAGAATTAATACACCTTTTATAAAACTGACTAGAGACTAGATTCTCAAGTATTTTTACTTGAATTATATAATATTTTTAGAATCAAGTATATTATTTGTATTAAATATAGTGTTATAAGTAGCAGTATCCTCGTAGTAACTTAAGTACCTAGAGATCAGATGTACTGCAATTGTTATTATTGGCTAGCTTGGGAATTTCGCGATCTGGGTGGATTATCTTGGCCGTGCTGTTTGTGTCAAAGGGCACCGGACCACTTTCCATCTCGCGCCGTAGGCGGCCCCTGGCAAGACCCCTGTAAAAAGACGGGGGCTCCAAGAAATTCATCATCATCATCATCATCATCATCATCATCATCAGCATCAGCAGCAGCATCAGCAACGTCAAATTCAGCAGTAGTAGTAGCAGCAGCTCAAGGGGTCTGAATGCAACAGCTTTGTTTATACGCATGAAAAAGGCCCACGTTGCCATCGGACCTAGCACGGGCTACATTGCATTTTTTTGGTCCCTCAACCGTCATGCACATCTCGAGACTGTTCGCGAAAATAGCTTCACAAGTTTACAATCCCAGCTTATTGGCCATTTGAAAACGGTGACCAAATTCTGGACTGACATTTGAATATTATAGCAAAACATACGTCTATAAGTATGGGAAGCAAAATGCTGGCAGTTGCCACCAGCTGCCACCAGCTAGGAAAACCACGGTAGTGGTAGCCATGGTATAACTTCACTTTCAGCTCACTTTGGATTTACAAACGATGGCGTGGGCACTTGCAAACGGATGAATCTAAGGGACTGTGAATGGGCTACCTCTCGTGTCTAGCAGCTCCAGCACAGTTCCCATCAAATTGCAAGTTTTTGCTGACTGCTTTTCTCCTCAACACAAAAAAATCACCTTCCTCTACCCCCTTTTTTTCCTGAAAATTTCCATCTAGCTTTCGTAGCACATTTTCGTTTCCATGCAAAACCAACTAAATCACTACAAGCTGACCGTCTCTCGTGCTGAAAGTCTACCAGCACCTATCTAGCTGTAGATCGACATGGACAAACGGTATTTGGTTGACCCAATATTGAGCGGCTGTCACAACCCATACTAACATCTGGATTCTTGTAGTCAATCCTTTCAAAGGGTCGTAGACGAAAATAACCACCCTGGCACATGCTGGGAGTTTGAGCGAACTGGTACTTGCAAATTTGGCAAACGATGCCGCTATCAGCATCCAGCTACCTCCGCGAAGTTGGCCAAGGAGCCTCCAACTGAACTTACAGGTTTCTTTGACAATAATGGACTTGGAGTCTCTACGCAGAGAATCGACGGCAAACTGCGCGAGTGGAAGCGTCTACTCGGCAATGGAGTTACTGCCTCACGCCCGCCGCCGGCAGTCGTGAGCCGATTCTTTAAACTGGGCCTGGAGCTCATGGAAGGGGACGTCGGTTCGTCGCAAGAGGTTATTAAACGCCTCGCAAACGATCAAGGCCTTCCATTCGTAAAGGACGTTGTCGAACGTCATCTTGCTGTGGCTCTTCAGATGGACCCCAGCATCACCTTCTGGAACACAGAAGTGAAGCCACTGTTCCAGTTGATCACTCACCCCCGAGTTATCCACTCGTCCGTTCTGGAGCAAGAGGTTATGACGATTTTTAACTTTATTCTTGGAGTTGGAGGGTCTCGCATGAACAGACTCTTTGGATACCTGGTGCTGCTCGTGACAGAGTGGCCCGACGCAACCGATATCGTATCCAAGATGTCGGCGGTAGAACTTTCACTCGCAGTCTTGTCCAAAGTTCTCGATTGCAATACTATCAACATCGTCAACCAGAACTTCGCTACACTAGCCACCCAGTTTGCAGAAATCGTTGCCACAATCTCGGAGGGGCAGGAAACCTTTGCCACTCTACAGTCTGAGAAGTACATCGATTATATCAGGCGACGGCTGCAAGTCGGCGACGACATTCCCGAAATGTCTGGTCCAACAAGGGACCCAGTTGTGAGAGAGGAATTCGTATTGCGCAGAGATCTTCCCGGGACCTTGTCGGCAGAAGGGCCAAGACACGACAACGATTTTGCAGACATGTCGAAAATCAGCATTCTTCCAACCTGCGAAGAAATCATGTCGCCTCGAGAAGAATATCTCCCCACCAGCGACAGCTCTCAGTGGCACATTGGAGGCATTCGTGGCCGTCTCGACAGAGAATTCCGCCTCCTGCGCGAGGATACAGTCGGCCAGCTCAGAGATACAGTAAGAGATGTACTTGAACACTTGAGAAGGCCCCAGGAGGCGCAGACCGCGGTCAAGAACACCCTGAGAACATATACATACGAGAATCCCGTCCCGATGAAGGTCGATTTTCGCCGGAATGGTGGCCTCGAACTGCAGGTTCGTTGTAGCCAGTTGATGGCTGTCGCTAAACTCGCCAAGAAACAACGAGAAGAGTGGTGGCAACGCAGTCGTAGGCTCCAGGCTGGTGCACTTGTCTGTGTGATTTCTGCCTCCGGTCTAGTCCAATTCTTTGTTGTTTCTCAGTCGACATTGAGAAGCCAGAGTGAACCACGCTTTCAACGACCAAAAGACAAAATGGTAAGCACTGATGAAGGAGACCAACAGCAAGTTTACACCCTATCAGACGACCCAGAGTATTTATTTGTTACTCTGCAACTTGTCGAGGATAAAGTCGAAGATGTAAAGGAATTGCTTCAGTGGTATGGTGTTAGCGACCAACACCGACGCCGCTACCTCGTTGAGTTTCCCGGTGTTCTCCTCGACTCGTTTAGGCATACACTCGCAGCCCTTCAACAGATGTATAAACATCAAGATATACCCTTCAGTCAGATATTGGCTCCTGCTTCAGATGCTGGGGCTGAAGTGGTCGTTCAGCCACCTGGCTATGCTAGGGAGCCGGGGTTCAATTTTGATCTTAGCTGTCTCCAGGATGGCCTTTTGGTGTCTCCTAGAAACTTGCCAGATTCTAGTGAACTAGCGGCAGGTTCAACTCTTGATGCAACGCAATCAGCTGCCCTTTTGAACACCTTGTCTAGAGAAATTTCTCTCATTCAGGGTCCACCTGGGACTGGCAAGAGCTACACCGGAGAGAAGATCATCCAGGTGCTGCTGGGAAACAAGAAACGGGCCAAGCTAGGACCGATTCTATGTGTGTGCTACACAAATCATGCTTTGGATCAACTGCTTGAGCATCTTTTGGATGCCGGGGTAAAAGGCGTAATACGAATGGGTTCCCAGTCAAAGTCGGATAGAATGACAAATCTCAACCTGCAGAACATCGTCAAGCGGTTTAAAAAAACAAAAGAGGAAGCCGCAAAGCTAGGTCAAGCCGAGGGTGGTATAAAGCAAGTTATTCAAGCAGTTGGTTGTACTCTTCAAGAATTGGCGGACTGCAAAACCTGGGGCACCCTCAAAGCATTTCTCCTGGAGAACTACCCCCATCAATATGAAAGTATCTTCCCGCCAGAAGAAGATGGATGGATCGAAGTCACGCGTCACAAGCCGGAACAGAAACTTGAAAGATGGTTGTGTACAGGAGACGATGTCGACGCTGTGCCGAGAGACATTCCCACCCTGGAGCAGTCGGATTTGTGGGAGATGAACCAGCCCGAGAGGCTGGTGTTATTTGAATACTGGATGAAAAGAATCAGAGATCCCATTATACTTTTGATTTCTGAGCTCCATGAAGAGTACTCGGCACACATCCAGGAGCGGTCCAAGGTCAGCAACGAGGTGAGCATTCGCTGCCTTGGGCAGGCCAACGTAATAGGCCTTACAACGACCGGCCTAGCGAAGAATATTAAGCTCCTCCGCAGTTTAAGCAGCAAAGTTTTGCTTTGCGAAGAAGCAGGCGAAGTACTGGAAGCTCACATATTGACAGCCCTGCTTCCGTCCTTGGAGCATGCGATCCTGATTGGTGACCACCTGCAGCTTCGGCCTCAAATCAACAACTATGAGCTGCAAAGCACCAATCCGTGCGGTGTCCAGTACTCTTTGGACATGTCACTGTTTGAGAGACTAGTCATACCGCCGCATGCTACGGATCCCCGTTTCCCATTCAGCTCTTTGGAGACACAGCGCCGGATGCACCCATCGATCTCGGCACTCATCAGACCGACGCTGTATCCGGATCTCAACGACTCCGAGGGCGTCCACATGTATCCTCAGGTGGTTGGCGTGAAGAAAAGGCTATTCTGGATGCATCATGAACAACTCGAAGCCGGGGCCTCTGTGCAAGATCCCTTGAATACATCTCACTCCAACGACTTTGAAGTGGAGATGACAACGGCGCTTGTGTCTCATCTTGTCCGACAGGGCGAGTACCAGCAAGGGCAGATAGCGGTGTTGACCCCTTACCTGGGCCAGCTTCACAGGCTTCGTCATCGTATGGCTTCGATATTTGAGATTTCTCTCAATGAAAGGGACCGGGATGAGCTGGCGGCCTTGGAGATTGACGTGGACCTTTCTTCAACGTCGAGTCCACAAAACGCGAGCAAAAGCTCTCTCCTCAAAACCATCAGAATCGCCACTGTTGACAACTTTCAGGGCGAGGAAGCCGAAGTCATTGTCATCTCGCTCGTCAGGAGCAACACCCAAAACAGGTGTGGGTTTCTCAGCACGCCCAACAGAATCAATGTGCTCTTGTCTCGCGCAAAACATGGAATGTACATCATCGGCAACTCCAACACATACAGAAATGTGCCCATGTGGAATGACGTGATCAAGATTATGGACGCACAAGGAAACATTGGCACAAGCATCCCACTTCAGTGTCCGCGCCATCCAGATACACCGATCCTGGTAAGCCAGCCAGACGACTTCCTTCTGTATGCGCCAGAGAGCGGATGCAATCTTGCTTGTCGAATGAGACTTAAATGCGGCCATCCCTGCCTGGGGAGGTGCCATTCCGAAATCCTTCACAACGCTGTCAAGTGTGGGGAGCCATGTCCACGCTCAATGAAGGGTTGCGACCACCCATGTCCTCAGCGGTGCGGCGACCTCTGCCCCCAAATGTGCTCGTTTCTCGTGAAAGACGTCAATATCACATTACCCTGTGGGCATGAAGTCAAGCACGCGCGATGTTGGGAGGTGCAGGACCCTACGACGATCAAGTGTGAAGTGCGGGTTACCAAAACCGTCCCTGGGTGTGAGCATGAAGTGGTGGTTGTGTGTTGGCAAGATGTGAACCGAGAGAATTATGTTTGCGATGCTTCTTGCGGCGGGCATCTTCCATGTGGACATGATTGCAAACAACCCTGCTTCGACTGCAACATTCGAACAAACAAAATTGTCATTCGCACCCTGCACAAGCCCTGTAAGCAGATATGCGGCCGGGGCTTCTCAACATGTCGACATAATTGCGGCCAGAAGTGCCATGAAGGGCAATCATGCCCTCCCTGCGAGGAGCCCTGCGAGGTGCGTTGCGGCCATTCGCAATGCAGCCGATTGTGCCATCAGCCCTGTGTGCCATGCGCAGAAGGAAAATGCCAGTCTTTCTGTCCACACGCTGAGTGCTCTATGCCCTGTGCTGTACCCTGCGATTGGGTACCATGTTCAAGACGATGTGAAAAGATGCTTGGATGTGGACATCGATGTAAGTTGAGCTCGCCGATGGTGTTGTTGTATAGCAGTCTGGGGATCAGGCCTTGTATTGTCACGTTCCATGCTAATAGAGAATCTCCAATTAGGCCCATCGCTTTGCGGCGAACAGTGTCCAGACATCAAGTTTTGTCAATCTTGTGCCCCTGAAGACATCAAGTCTGTTTGCGTGGACTTTCTCGAGATGAAGGAATACCAAGACATTGACCTCGACCAAGATCCATGCATCTTTCCCGACTGTGGCCATTTCCTGACTGTGGCCTCCATGGATGGTCAAATGGACATGATGTCGCATTATGACACAGATGAAAATCGCATGCCGGTCAATATCTTCAAAAAGTCTGAACCATTCTCGATGGACGGCTCCGGGGTGCGTGTTTGCGCCACGTGCAGAGGGTCGCTTCGAAACATTGCAAGATACGGCCGAATCGTCCGCCGCGCGATTCTCGACGAGGCCACAAAGAAGTTTATTTCCTGGTCGCACAAGCAATATGGACTACTTTCCTCGAGGTACTTGGAGGAGCAAGAAGCCCTTGGCGACGCTGAGGTCTTGGGGGCCGCCACAGCCCGCGCGAAGCTCCAACGCTCCAAGTCGTCAGTATTACGATTTTTGTATCTGGATTGTCTGGAAGAACACGCCCTGAGCGAGCGGTACGGCGACTTGCTCGCAACATGGGTGGATATTCGCCTTTTCGCCAACGATGTCAAGGTAGATGAGCAGCCCTTCCAACGAGTCGCCGACCTGGTCCGCCACGCCAACCGCCAGCACAAAACAAACAAGGAATTCAGGTTCGACGAGACCGTCATTCAAATGAAGGGCTACATTCTCGCACGCACGCTGCTCCTCAAGTGCGAGATGACAATCTTGAACGACTTCTTCGCCCGGTGCAACGGCAGGGCTCGGCTGCCCGTGAAATTTGTCCTCGACTTTACGCAGCAGTTTCGGGATTGCGAGGAGGTAATCCAGATCGCGAACAAATCGGTGCACCCCAAAGAAGAGGTCCAGGCGCTCATATTCGAGGCCCAGCTTTGCGCGCTGTCATGCAAGGTCGATGCTTGCTCGGTGCCGCCGGGATTCGAAGGCGGCGCTGCGCCCGACAAGGATGACGTACAGGCGTATGGGTTTGCGCTCCTAGAGAGAGCCAGGGAGATGGCTCAGATGTACCCGTCTACAATGATATTCGCAGGCGAGATTGACGCTGTCGAGAGCTCTCTCCATGGGTCGTACCAAACACTTGGCAAAGAGGAGATGCGTAATATTGTCGAGGCCATGGCCGGGGATATAGGAACCGGGGGGCGATGGTATTATTGTGAGAACGGCCATCCCTTTACGATTGGAGAATGTGGGAGGCCCATGGAAGAGGCGCGATGCTCCGAGTGCGGTGCTCCAATCGGCGGTCGGAACCACAGGCTGGTGCATGGAGTGGGCGAGGCCACTGAGCTCAATCAGATCACGCGTGGAATGGGGAGGATAGTGCTGTAGATTGCAGTTGGCAGCTTTGTGTGTTTTGGAATGTGGTGGTGCCCGGCGAGGTTGAAGGCTTGAGATGGTGGTTGATGTCGGAGAGGAAAGCTGCGAGGGCTCACTCGACTGTTGGCGTCGGTTATGCAAAAAGGAACTTGTCTCATGTAGGTATTGCCGAAATACGTATGCAGTGTACTGTAGAATCCGTAAATGCACAAGCTGCCATTGCATGCACTTTATTCCGAAGCCCGCCGAACAAATCACCGGCCACACGACACGACACAACCAACACGTGAAGCAACAAGGACCAAATACCGTCTCATTGCAAGTACTTCCTCAAAACCTGCAGCGGCTCACTCCAACCATGAGTCGACTGCCCTCTTCAGCTCGCCCTTCAGCCACCCGTCATACCGCAAGGCGACATCAAATCCATGCTCGCCATCCGTCTCTGCCAAACGCACCCCCTCATCACCAACGACCTCCCTCGCACGCCTCACAAACCGCCTCACCGACTCCACGGGCACGACGCTGTCGTCCCTCCCCTGCAGTATCGTGACGCCCCCCACCGGAAGCCTCACGCCCTCGGCCTCGAGCGCCTCCGGCGGGAAATACACCCTCCTCTCGGCGGGCGCCGCGCCCTCCAGCCCGCGCGCGTACAAGCCGCCCAGCCGGCCGTGCTGCGTGGCCGCCAGCATAAAGTCCAATCTCGCAGCGGACGTCACCGAGCTCTCTGCCGGCCCGCCCTCCGCCGCGGCAAGCGCGTCGTCGTACACCGACTCCGGGACGCTCTTCCCCAGCGGCGGGTTCTCACGGGGCGTTGTGAACTCTGGCGCGCCCGGGTCGACGAGGGGGTACGTGGCGACGGCGACCCTCACGTCGCGCGGGTACGTGAGCGCGGTGCTTAGGCAGAGGAGGCCGCCGGCCGAGTCGCCGGTCACGAGGACGCGGGCGAGGTCGGCCTCGACGGGGGGCGACTGCGAGGAGAGGAGAGAGGCGAGCGAGGGCGAGTGGATGTAGGCCCAGAAGTCGGCTACGTCTTGGAAGATCTGGGGCGTCGTGGCTTCCGGGAGGAGGCGGTAGTTGGGGGAGATGATGATGGCGCCGTGGGCGAGGGCGAGGTCCGTCAGCCACTGGGGGTAGAAGGGCAAGTAGAGCGAGTCGCCCATGACCTGGGGCAGGTTAGTATTTTGTCTGGTGTTGGAAGGGTGAGAGGGAGAGAGGGAAGCGCTTACGAGGCCGCCGCCGTGGAAGCGCACGATGACGGGTCGTTTGCCGGACAGTGGCGTTTCGGGGACGAGGACGTCGGTGCGGATTTCGTGGTGGGCAATCGTTTTGTAGGGCGTTTGGAGGACCTTGAGGCCCTGGAGTTTGGAGGCCATTGTGAATGTGTGTGAGGGTGTCGAGGCTCGGGTTTGGATGGGCGATGTGGTGAAGTTGTGTTCGTGACACGAATGGCTATTGGGCTTTTACTTATAAAGGTTCTTGAGCTAGGATGCCTGTGAGTGTTTCTGCAGGCTATTATTCCGCGGCGTCGGCAGATGTGTACGGTAGTCGCAGATGGGTCAGCAATTATTAAACCAGACTCTATGCATGTCGTCATTAGTAATTGGCAATGATTCCACACAGTCACTGCGGAATTGATGGAGACGCCGAGGTGCGAGCCCCGCCGGCGGGCTATTCGTCCATGTCTAGATGCATCGCTGGCTGCTGATGCTTTGATTCGCGAATTAAAGTTGTATTGGGGTCTGGTGTCTGTGAATGGTTAAAATGATGTATGTAGCCTACGCGCCAACGACAAACTTGGGGTTTGCACCTTGCAGTGGACAGACGGACGGGAATAAGACGGTTATAGAGCAAAGTCAAGTTGTATCAAAAGAGTGTCTGGTATGTAGATTTGCTTGTTGAAAGCAAAAACAGAAGATCAATGCCAATACCAAATCCAGAGCTCGCAGCACTTGTGTGCGGCCTCCACTTTTGGCAGAGTTGTTGAAACTCTTCTCAACCTCCATGTGAGTTATCCAATAGTTCCTCCCAGCCTCCAACCGAGTATATTCGCATTTCAAGTGTGGCAGTGTCGGCCACATGGAATACTATCCGGCTTCCATGACTCAGCAGCACCTTGACAACAGCGCGGTGCCGTGCTGTCTAGTGCATACCCTCCCAAAGCTCCAACAAGTTGATCATCTCTGTGCATGCTCCAGGCGTAGCCACCCATGAGTAGTGGTTGACGTGGAGGCACATCCACATTACCCGGGTAAGCCCCCCTGTACTGTTTTGACGAAGCCAAGCGCAACCTTCTGGGTAGCACATGTACCTCCAGAAGACTTGCCAACGCTCAAACCGCGCCAAAGCCCGTATCTGATTCTCCAAGCTGATAATCTGTAGGGCAAGGTCGCCCGTGAGGACAAGCTGTTTCATGTAGGATCTAGTTGGCCCGCCTTGCCTGAGACAAAGAGTTCCATGTTCGCGGAGGCTGATTTCTCGCAAACGTTCAAGCTCTTGTGGGTGGTGCAGCAGGTATCGCAGGTCGCGAACGAGTCGAAGTTTGAGCAAGGCAAGTGGAACGCGGTAAACCCACTGGTCTAAACGGATGATGTATGCGCTGGCTTCTGCAAGCATAGAGTACACTACTATTTGTCTGCTGCTGATTGGGGGCGGCGGCCCACTGGCGCGGTGGTCCCTCTGGAAGGCCGATGTCATGAGCAGCATTGCACGGGCGTAAGCCTCCTGGTCTTTGTTTTGGAATATGTAGAGTGCTGGAACCGCGAACCTGGCAAAGTCGTCACTCCAAAACAATTTAATTTTCTCGTCGTTTAAGAGCTTGATTATGTCGCTGTATGTGGTCGCTGGCAACGGCCCCGGATAGAATGCTTGGAACAGCAGGTCGACTAATGCATAGGTTGCGTCGGCGAGGTCTGCACAGACGCCGCTGCGTGTCTGGGTGGGCTGATCAGCCTCTCGTCTCAGCCGCTCATGCAGGGCTCGTTGCTGCCGGATTGTTGCGCAAAATCGTCCGTGTCGCTGCTTATCCCGCTCTGGGGTGTGCACTTCGCACAAGTGAGGCGGCACGCAAATCCGACAACGGTCGTAGTAGTAGGTTTCACAGCCTGGTTGCGGACAGAACCCGTGATTGAGTTCGTCCATGGAGAGGCCTAGCATGGTTTGTTGACGATGAGTTTTGTGAAGGGTAGGACCGTAGGAGCCTGTCTTTGCCAAAAAGCGTCAAGTACCGGCACGTTTGCTGCCTATCCCAACGCGAGGGGAGCCGTCAAGCTTAAATAGGTATTCTGAGAGCTCCAACCCATTGCGAACAAGGCGCCAACACGTCCGAAAACAAGGTGTGAATATGTCTATATCAACATGTAAAATGACAAACAAGCGTGGGCCGTCCATTGCGGATTGAGGGTGCACAAATGGCGGCTGTTCTCTTTGTGTTGGACACACATGTGGTTGGAACCCCCAACACACAAGCAAGCCCGCTGCATAATGACGTAGGAATAAAGAGGCTCACAAGGGTTTCGATGAATGTTTCAGCTATTCAACATTACATGTACACCTATTCAACTTGGAATCTGCATCGGATGACGGGTGCGCTGCCTGCCTTGTGAAAGCAAGAGAAGACATCAGGCCAGTCACAGAGTCACCACGTCCCCATGCGTTGGTCGGCCGCCCGGTGGCAGCAGAGAAGCGCACACGTGCAGAACAGCGCCTTTGATGTATTTTTTGAAACACGCAAGTACCGGGCTGCTGACCCTGCATGGCAGATTCCTGCCGGCACTGAGGGAACTCGGAGCGAACATGTTGGCGTGATTCACGGCTGCTCAATAGCCTGACATGTGCAGTGGGCCGCTTTCACCGGGCACGCATTGCATGAGAGACTGCGGATGGCGCATTTATTAAACGGGCTGAAATGTCCAGCCAGGCATCTTGGTAACGGGGGAAGTGAAGTGGCCTCGGTCGTGGAATTTGATGACGTCTGGAGCGAGTTGTGCGACTTGCCTAATTGAGTCATCTTCGTGTGAGCCCAGCCAATCAATGTACTGCCACTTGCGAGTAGCACCAGGCCGCTTTTGGGCAAGGAGCAAAGTAGAACCAAGCAGAGAGTTCATGGTCTCGGTACTACATATGTAGGTTTACAGCGGCGGATGTGGCCGTAGACTGGTGCCTGTGCATGAATCTATACATCAATTGATGTCTGGTATACTTTTGACTTGTCTTTTAGCTCATGCTTTCCGTTGTGCCACAGCGGGAAAAGACTGGAGCTTATTCCCACAATGCCGAGCCTAGCAGGTTCATGCAACTACAAGGTTTCAATGTTGGCTTTTAAGCGTCAACCAGTGTGTGCACTCCCCAAAGCATCAAATGCTTACATTGTCAGTAGATTGATGTATTTGCAATCCACAATGCCTGCTCATTTTTGAAACCATGACATGGCCACATTCACCACAGCCACCATCATTTAGCTTGAGCGTACGGAGTATACCGGACACTGCTGAAATCGGCTTATATTCGTGACTCTTTTTGCCTTTTCCCACCAGACCCGTCTCAAATTTATGGCTGCGGTAGCGCGGCATGGCTGCGCATCAGTAGAGTCCGTCTCGTGCTAAGTTTAGCTACTACATGCAAGTCAAGATAATTTCACGAGTGACTGACACCAACTTTATCAGCCTAAAATCCTTCAGACCAGACACCACATATAATCAAGTCTACGCTTATTGGCAACTGACTAATTTTTTTCTTTCGTTTTCTTTTCTTCTTTTTCTTTTTTTTTAAGCAATCAGAACCTTTCTGCCCTCCTTCTTTAAATAATACGAACTCTTTTACACATACGAACCCATCTGCCCCAAACACTGCCGTGACTGCACATTGTCTCGAGCCTCGCACCCCGTTGCTGGACTGCCGAATCCGCAACGTCGTTTCCTTGCCTACACACAAGCAGCCGCCTTTGACTGATAGTTGGACGCCAACATCAAAAATCACAGCATGCGGTTTCCAGCAGCCGGGGCTCTCGCCCTTCTCAGCCTTGGATTATCGGCAGCGGCAGTCCCCTCCAAGCCGGCGTCGACAATCTCGCCAACCTCGCCGACCTCTCCCAAGACCGACCCCTTCTACGCCGTCCCCGAAAACATCGAGCATCTACCGCCGGGCACCCTCCTGCGATCCCGAAAATTCCCCTTTACCGACTCACCATTCGGCCTCACCGACGTCAACTTCAACATCAGCCAGCAGATCCTCTACAGGACGACCGACAGCCACGGCCGCGCCACGGCCACGGTCCTGAGCGTCCTCATCGCGTCGCCCGGGAACAACAGCAAAGTCCTCTCCTTCCAACCCGCGCAGAACGCGCCGGCGCTGCAGTGCGCGCCCTCGCACACCTTTGACGCACACCCCCCGAGCCGCCAGAAGCCCGAGAGCACCATCACACGGCCCGAGCTCCTCTCCATCCAGTCGGCGCTGCACCAGGGCTGGATCGTCCTCATCCCCGACTACCAGGGCCCCAAGGCCGCCTACATGGCCGGCAGGCTCGCCGGGCACGCCGTGCTCGACGGCATCCGCGTCGCCGTCCAGACACCCGCGCTGACCCGAATCCGCAAGAACCCGAAAATCGCCATGTGGGGATACTCCTCGGGCGCCGCGGCCACCGCATGGGCCGCCGAGCTCCATCAGACGTACGCGCCGGAGCTCGAGATCGTCGGCGCGGCCGTCGGCGGCGTCCCGGCCGACATCGCCGCCGTCGTCGACAGGATCAACGGCCGCAAGCACGCGGGCCTCATCGCCGGCGGCGCCGTCGGCCTGGCCAACGAGTACCCCGACGTCGCGGCCGCCATCTACCCGCGCATCCGGAACAAGTACCAGCCGCTGTTCAACAAGATCAAGACGCGGTGCGGCGACGACAGCACCAAGGCCTTCAACAACAAGAACGTCATCACCATGTTCAACACCACCGAGGTGCGCAACCTCCCGGCCGTTGTGGACGTCATGAACCAGACGTCGCTGGGGAAGATGGCGCCCAGGATCCCCATCTACTTGTACCACTCGTTCCACGACCAGATTTCCCCCGTTGGCACGGTCAACAAGCTGTATGATTTTTACTGCGCTAATGGTGCGTCGGTGCTGTACAAGCGCGACTTCTTCTCGACGCATGGCTCGGCGGCTGTGACGGGCATGCCGAGGGCCTTGGTGTTTTTGATTGACATGATGGATGGCAAGGGGCTGAGTGCTTGCTCGCAGGCTACAATCCTTTCGGGGCTGCTTGAGTCGCCTACCTGGGGGAGGATACCTGAGGGGTTGATCAACGCGTTGCTGTTTTTGCTCCGTAGGACAGCGTAGGATGGGATTCGTGCTCTGGTTTATAATATAATACCGTGGACCGTGTGCACTTTGGTATCGGTGTGGTTTGTCTGCATATGAAAATTGGGGAGATGCTGAGGAATCATCATTCTTTTTAGACCTGACGGTATTTTCACTTGTGTTTTGGTATCTATTTAATAGTAATAGGTCCCGTGTACGCCTTGTGCCGTGGATGAAATTTGAATACTCGCCGTGTAGTTATTCGTCGGGAATGAGCCTTCTGTGGTGACTTGACGGGGTCGTCGTGTACAGTAAGAAGTCTGTACCAACAAACATGCCTGTTAGACACTCGAGATATCGGCAGACAGTCATCCTGTGTGTTTCCCGCTCTGTTCCATCAATGGCACGACGGCGTCAACAGCAGGCTTTCAAGTTCGTACTATTTGCCATCCCCGGCAGAACTTGGCAAAGCTATCTAATAGTCCAGGCACGCATGTCCCGATGAAGAAAGTCGTGCAGTCCAACGCAGCGAAGCCAATCAATGCATCTCTTGAAACCCCACGTTGGCGATGTAGGATGCAACCTGAGCCCACGTATGCATCTCGGCCGGGCCATGGGGAGTTGGCTGTCCAATCATGCATCTACTTGTTCCTCGAACCGTGAATCCATCCGTTGTCTTGCGGATGAGGGGTTCCAAGCCATGGCGACAACCTTTGATTCAAGGACCAGCCGCATCAACCTGTTGCCCAGGTATATCCTCCTTCACAATCTTTTCGAGCCCAGTTTGATCCGAGGCAGCCCAAGCTCTTGGTATCATGAATACAATGGCGTCGTCGACTACACCCCCCACGCCCTTCTCCGTCACAGGCAAGACGGCCATCATTACCGGCGCAGGATCTGGTTCGCAGCGCCGCCGGCACTTTATCCCAACAACATGGTCATTTGCTAAGAATAAGCAGGCATCAACCACGCGTTTGCCGAGCTCCTCCTATCCAGAGGCTGCAACGTGGTCATTGCCGACCTCGCCCTTCGCCCGGAAGCCCAGCAGCTCGTCTCCCAGCACGGCGACAAGGCAAAGAGGCCCCGGGCCGTATTCGCCAAGACAGACGTGACGTCCTGGCCGGACCTCAACCGCATGTTCGAAGTGGCGGCCGCGGAATTCGGAGGCTTCGACATCGTCTGCCCCGGAGCCGGCGTCTACGAGCCGCACTGGTCCAACTTCTGGCACCCGCCAGGATCTCCCGAGAGCAGGGATGCCGTCGACGCCGGCCGCTACGCCCTCCTGGACATTAACCTGACGCATCCCATCCGGACGACCCAGCTCGCCCTGCAGTACTGGATCCATCCTCCAGCCGGTGCCCCCCGCTCCGCGCCGGCACCGGCACCGGCACCGGCACCGGCGTCCGTCGACAACCCGAAGCGAGTCGTGCTCATCTCCTCGGTCGCCGCGCAGATACCGACCTTCCGCGCTCCGCTGTACGGCGCGTCAAAGCATGCGATTACCGGCTTCACGCGGTGTCTGGCCGACCTCGAGCCAAGGCTGGGCGTTCGCGTCACCGCCGTGGCTCCCGGACTCGTCAAGACGCCCATCTGGACGGAGCACCCTGAGAAGCTGGTCAATCTTGACCCAGAAAAGGACGGCTGGATCGCCCCGGAGCAAGTGGCCCGAGTCATGGTGGAGGCGATGGAAAAGGAGACAATCGCGGGCGGAACCGTGCTGGAGATTGGCAGGAACAAGACGCGGCGGGTCCAAGTGTATAACGATGCTGGACCGGATTTTAGCCCTGGCGGGGGGATAGCTGCTAGCAGGTCGGACGAGGGCAACAACATGGTCTGGGAGTGGCTTGGAAATGAGAGCATTTGGGCTGTTCACGATTGGGGCAACGAGTAGCTCGGATTCGGGAGTATCGTGTGACAGTGGTGCTTTGAGATGCTTATATTGACAAAAACGTACTAGTCGCAGTGTCTACAGATTCGATCTTATTGGTATTTGGCTTGTGTTACTTGTAAATGGGTTTGAAAATGTGACACAGGTCCTTCCGCCTGATAATGGCTGGGATGTATCATGTGGCCTTGACAAACTTTGAGACACTGTTGTGTGAGCACCTTTTTTTGGGCTTATAACTAGTTGCGCCTCTTTCATTATGTGATAATCTACACTGGAGATTCTGCCCATGGTACTTGTTGACGAATTCAGCCGACTCGATGGACGGGGGAGTAGTCTCGAAGCACAATATTAGTGTGTCGTCACAAACAGCACCAATGTTCTCAGCTCTTAGCCTGGCCCAGCTACCGTTTTCATGATGAATTTTACCTCTCAAATTCTCGGGTTCAAAAGTCCCTTGCAGGATCTACCGTGCTCCTACTTGGCTCTGCCCAAACCATGCTCAACGCGTCCTGGAAAACGTCTACCCTCGCAGAAACATGATACACTTTAGAGTAATTTATCTTTATAAATTGATAAAGTATTAAAAAAGTGGATTTTACGAATAAACACCCCGAGCCCTTGATTTACCGTCTGCCCGTGATGTGGGCAGCCCGGCCAAGACATGGCGCATGCATCGTTGAGCTCCTCAAGAAAACTCATATAGATGGGACTTTACTTAGATCGGTTTACGAGTTGCGTCTGATAATTGGCTCATAAACTCATGGATGGGGGCGTTGCCCTGTATTCTATTCATAATCGGTCCTTTTCACACAGTAAAAAACCAAAAATCAGACATGGTCGCGCCGGTATTTTATGTGTCGTACACCCCCTCACACCGTGCATAGTTCTCTACTATTCTTTTTTAACAGGACATTTGTGTCCCAGAGCCCCAATAATTTGTCAGAGTTTTCGACTTTTCAGTTAGGAGGCCTGCTATTGGTAGGCTGGTATGATATATCTTGCCGAGTAGGTTGAAGAATCTCAACGCCTAGACCCCATCGCTGCCTGCCTACAAAGAGGCGGGAGAAGAATACTCTGATTGTTGCAGTTTGATTCTCGAGGCACGACTCACCTCTTCTGTCCTTGGGAAACGAGCTATTTCTAGTTTCAAGACTTAATACTCACTTTCTAGGTTTAGGCATGGCCATTATGTGGACCGTATCTTGCAAGATCTGGTACATCAATCAAAACATTCTGGTATACTAAACTAAAGAACAATAGTACAACAACTTCATCAGAGGTAATATCCAAAAAAAAACATGAAATTCTTGCTCATACTCTTTCCCCTAGATCACCCGCTTACTGTCCACATTCGGATCGAGCTTATTCATAAAATCCGTTCGGTGAGGCCCCGAGGTATTAGGCGCAGGTCCAGGCTTTGTGCCGCCGACATGGACTGCCCTTGGGACTTGTCCCTGAGCGGCAGCAGCACCTCTGAGGTTGGGGTCAACCGTACATGTATTTGCAGGCCGCGGCTGCTGTGCTCCGTACACCTCGCCCTGCGTGTTTGCGACAGGAACGCCGCCTTGCCGGTGATGTGTGTAGGCCGCGCCGCCGCTGTCCAAGTCCGAGTCAACGCGAGGATCAAGAGTATTTGCGATCCGTGAGGAGTGAGGCCCATACGTGCCCTCTGGCACATTCTGCATCGGCGCCGTGGCCGAAACGCCAGGCGGAGGGGCCGTGTACGCCGTGTCACCCGATGCCAGAGGCGCATTATACCCCTGAGCGACGGTACTTGTCACGCCTTGTCCATGGGAGGGTGCGTATGTCCCTCGCGATGCGCCTGTTCCGGGCCCGAGAACTTGTGCCCCTCCAGAACGGCTGTCGACGGTTGGGTCGAGTTTGTTGAGGATATCGTGTCGATGCGGCCCGGCTGTATGGGGTGCCGGTCCAGGCAAGTCGCTTCCCATTGGTGTCTGGCCTTGAGTTCCCATGATGTTGGGTTGATATCCTGCCGGAACGCCGGGCTTTTCCACTGCAGCAACGTACTCGGGCTGGCCCTTGTGACTTTTTCGGCCAATGGGGCACATGGTGATGGCAGTGATGACTGTTGCAATCCTATTTCGAAGAACTGGTCGTCAAGTTGCGAGTAAGAGGTGAGATTTTCGAGGGGGATGTATTTCGGCGCGATGCATGACTTTTATATTCCCCTGCGTTTTGCACATTCGACGACAACGGTAGGTGGCGAGCGTGGCTGTGGTGATGTCACGACCGCATACGTAATGCCGTTGTCAAAACCTGATGATAGCTTTTCCTGGATGTGGCGGCGGTACAATGATGTTGACCTGGGCAATGTTGGACAGCAGGCACGAGGTATTTTGGGCAACTTTGTTCGACGATCTGTGGCAACAGCTCAAACAGGCCTCCCCACGACGCCTTAGAGGATGATTTATCTGTACACCTTTGAAATGAAGCCGTGATTGGTTCACCTTTGACGACGTGAATTCTGAGGGGTGCATATTTGACGTTGCAGTCCATATCGTGACTCATAAAAGAGTTCACGGTGGATTCTGGAACTTCACCACCCCGTCACAAGGCGAGAAGGACAAGGCAAGCCGCCTATTTTCTCGATATGTGGCATCTACATTTTGACCTATCGGGCCATAACGTCACCGTGCCGTCATTGTTCTGGCAACAGGTAAAAACGTCGATGGCGCACCTGGTTACGTCATGCTCGTCCTGGTGGTGGCAAAGTGCGTCGCATATAAGACTCGGGCTCGCCAGAGTCTTCTTCCACGTTGAAAAAATTGGAGAGTAAGAAAATACACACTCTAACCTGGATTCATATCGAACGACTTTCTCAAATCGATACAATGCCCTGCGACTGCGGATCGACCTGCAACTGCACTGGCCCTAGTTCCTGTAGCTGCGGCCAAGACTGCACCTGCAAAAACTGCGGTGTACGTTATCAAACAATCTTGGACAAGAAATATGGTCAAGCTAACTGTATGAAGAAATAATGAGCGTGATCGCGACGGGGTATCGATGAGGAGTGCTTTACAATCGACCCTGCCACCGTCACCGGGCTCTGCGCAAACCGCATTGCAGCACAGAAAATTGATTACGGAGTAGGTAGTTTAATAAAAATTCCCATCACAAGGCACAAGGAGATTTCAGAATAAATAAGACTGTGAGACTTTTTCTTGGGTTGTTCGCAGGTTCTATGAGGCTGCTCCATGTTGGAGGAGCGCCGAAAACAGAGACCTCGTTTTCTCACTCTGCGGAGAAGCCCTTGCCGTGTGGGCAAACTCTGGAAATACCATTAGATCTCTGGAAGGTGCCGCACGCTCAGTTACCCGGGTACCTTCACAGACATGTGAGCTCTCCGAGTCCCCCAAATGTCTCGCCATGTCTCAGGCGCCGTTGGCGTTGCGTAGTCGGAAAGCCATCATCCACCTATCGTCATTTTGTGATTCCCTTGACCAATCTCAGCTGCGCCCTCCGGCCACCAAAGCAGAGCAAGCGCACTGTAGTCTGTACACAACGCAGGCATACTATTCTCGTCTGGGTTAGCTGTTTGCTGTTGAATATACATGGTACAGACAATACACTTTACCAGCAGCCGCTTTGAGACATGAATGTCTGCAGTATGCATCAGTGCCAATCAACGGCTCGCGATCGGCGGCTTCCCCCGGCGAGCTGAATTCCTGCGGATGCTGGCTGCCTTCATTGCCCCGAGGTCCGCGCCTCTATCTGAGAGGGCCGCTGTCTGAAAGGATATGGACAGCCAGAACATGGAACCATGGCGCACCATGTCACACGGCTCTTTGTTGGGCTATGTCGACCCAGGCCGTTATCTTGTATCAGGCCCGTACCCAGCCCACCAGGAATCCAGGATGGCGTCGCTGGCTTGCCCACGATAACCCATGGTCTCTGTTCCGTGCTGATTTCGAAGGGGCTGTTCTCGAAGATATTCGCTGGCAAGAGCCATTTCCTGACAAAGGCGGCAATGGCGAATTCAAAGGCCACGGAACGTCGAGGGGCCCCGTGGGCCGTGGATTCTTTCTGAACGAAGCTCACGTTGCTTTTGGCATCAATGGCCAAGACTCGACAGAAGTAGAGACATAATTTCTTTTTTTCTTCTTTTTCTCACCGAGACCCTGCATCAGCGGACACTGTGCAGGTGGGGGCCCTCCGGTATGGACATGGAAGCAATGAAGCAAAAGCTGGTTGAGTGAAGCGTCGAGACTCGAGTCGTCATGCCTGCCGCAGCCTGCGGCATGACGCTTCCTTGCCTCTCTATTGGCTGGCAGGCGTCGGCCACCGCTCCGACGACCTCGACCAACCAGCGTCGAGCCCCGTTGCTCTGCGTCGTTGCTCTTGGCCCTTGGGTTGGCATCGTGACACAAATTGTCGGTGCAATGTGATTGCTTGCTCGAGAATCATATTCCCCAAGACGGATGGTCTTCATAATCAGCTGAAATCCAGGATAGATTGTCTCATCTTCCAGATCGGCGCTGACACGGCGGCCCCCCCAAAGCCCTCTGGACAGCTCCATTGCAGGTGCTCTCGCCAGCCCCGAAGCCCTCGAAGCAACCACCATCGGAGAATTTCATCCGTTGCTCGAATCACTGTTTCGTCCTGGTGCAGACAGCCATGAGGTCCAGATACCAAAGACTGCTGCCGGGGACGGCCAAGTCCGGCAACGCGGGCGGACGGACGCGAAATACAAACGGGAGTGCATCAACGCTGCCCACCTGTTTCGTAAACCCCATTGCCTGCGAAAGGTGCCGTCGGAAAAAGGCAAAGGTACGTCGTCCTGAACACGAGCCGGTAGTGATATTCGCCAACCGACAACTAATGGACAGTGCGATGGCGAAAGACCAGCCTGCAACCGCTGCGTGCGAAACGGCACAAGCTGCCAGTACGACGCGGATGTTGGCGAATCCCGTGCCGCGGCGCTCAAGAAGAAATACAGTGCGTTGGAGAAGGAAGCCGGGCAGCTGAGGAAGGGCGTTCACCAGCTGCAACGCCTCTACGGATACATCTGCGCGTCGTCCGAGGACGAGGCATACAAGGTGTTCCAACACATTCGGGCCGGTGACAACCACAATCCCATCGACGCGCTGCGACTGTTCGACCGAAATGACGTCCTCGCCCTGGAGTGCACCGAGTCCCCCGCCTCAACCGATATGTCTGATGACACGCGTGTTGAGTCGGCGAGCAATGCCCTCTTTGAGGTCCGCGCTCTGCCGTGGTCCGTCGTCGCAAGTGACGAAGTCGTATCGGAGCTCATCTCGCAGTACTTCATGTTCGACTATTTATATGTTTTCCCCCCAATACCACGTGTCACATTTGTCGACGAGATGAAACTGGGAGACGTGGCCGCTGCCACATCCTGCTCGCCACTGCTGGTCAACGCCATCTGTGCGCAACAGTGTGTAAGTTGTCGTCAAAGCACCGCCACTGCCCGCTTCAACTTGCACTAGACTGAGTCGTCTTCTAGTTCCTCTCCCCTAGGCAGCATCTAGATACCACGGTACGTGAGGTTCTGGCAGAAAGATTCTTGCACGAGGCAAATAGGTTACTCCAGAGCGAGGGAGGTCGACTGTCCCTCCCAGACGCCCAAGCCATCTGTCTGATATATGCTGCCGTGGCCGCAAGAGATCAAGTCAGGTCTGGCGTTATTTCCCATGCGGATGAGGCGTGACGGTGGGCCGAGTATGAAAAAGAATTGGGCGCGGAAGAACAAAGGGGGTTGGTAAAAGGGGCGTTTTTAAGCGTGAATTCGGCGTAGCTTATTTTTATGACGACTACTGGCTGGGACTGAAAGACACTGTCTTTCGTTCTTAATGCTTGCATTTTCTTAGAGAGACCTCATGAAGCATTCGAGGGAGGCGCTCGTCATTTATGCCAGCCTTTGTGGTTCTGTTCCCATGCTGGTCTCCCAGTGGCGCCCGGTTTGCTGGCAGGCTTTGGGGATTGGTTATACGGAGCAACTTCTCCATAATACAAAATTTCGAAAACAGTTTAGTCATGATAGTTGTGATTATCATCTTTCAAGATAGCATGCGATCGAATCTCGAGACGTTTTGTCTTCTGCTATTGCTTAGCCCAACCTCACAGCACATTTCGCCGCCACATCCGTCTCGGTACCTAATACTTTCTGAACCAAAATGCAAATATCAATCTCGGGCATCTGGCAGCCTGTGTACCCACAGAGTGTCGAATCATGCTCGGATATTTTATCTCTGGGGGCTGGCACGGCAAGATGCCGCTTGTGTCGGTGCTGCTGAACACAGACCGACCAATGTTGCAGAGACCTTTTGCCGATCCGCGCTCCGGTCGGGCTGCGTATTTCTTTGGCTAGACTTGAGACCATGTCAGAATGACGACAGGCTGGGATGCTGCCGGAGATACTTCCGTTGACACAGCTGCAATGCAAGGACCGTTTTGAAGATTACGGACCAATAACTGATCCATATCCAGCTTACCGGAGGCACTTCCGATGTGGGTTTTGACACAAGACCGTTTTGAGCCTGAGACTTGTATAAGCTGGGTCACCAGTTCTCGGGGGGCAGGCTGTCCATTTACGCGCGCATCAGTGAATATTAATGACGGAGCACAACCGTCCGGTACGTGTCGTGATAGCACGGCATCCGTCCACTGAGCTCACCTGTCATCAACCACTTGATCCACTTGGGAGCATGATGCGGTGAAAGTAATGCATTCATGCTGCTGTTTGCCAAACAGTCGTGGTGACCGTATTGATGGCGGGTGCGTTCAACCAGGTCGTCAAGTCACTCAGTCGAGCGATCCAGTAATAGCGGTCCTCGGACAGGTATTCCCAGTTTCAAATCTTGAATTTGGACACTTTTGGGATTTCAGCTCATGAAAGCTGGCCTACCAAGAGTGATGCCCATTTCCAGCTTCTAGGCTGATGGCCAAGGCATCAACACTCTGATAGGTGAGGATGCCAATGGGCTGATGAGGAGAGAACCTTGTCGTGTGCCAATCTGTCTTCAAAAGTTGACATACACGTTCTAGCCTTGTCGCTATTCAGGCGTCGACTCTGTATCGTGGTATCATGCACGGCTGACAATATGTATGCTCGACCTTAGCCACTCTCACAACAAAGCTAAATATAGAAGAGTCGCATGCCATACATATACTGAAGAATTTCTCTGTGAAGTAGATTGAAATTTTCATGGCTTGTCAGCGTATAAAGCCGCCTCCTAGGAGCTCAATTGAATGGGAGAAGCAACGGTAAACAAGATTCTTGAATAATTGGTGCGTAGTTATGGACTGCGGCTGTAAAGTTTGCTAATGTCCCACGAGTGCTTCCCGGTCAAACCTCGATGATGATGATGAGGCAAAGAAGGGCTGCCATGACTTCGGCATTATGATGTCGAGTCACCATTGATTAGCTCCAAAGCATATCTAGACAGACTTTATGTCGAACAATATTACGCGTCTAAAAAATTCAGAATTATACTGGAAGAAAAACGTCCTCTATATTATGTGAATTACTGTAATTCAGAACGTTAAACGCTGGCATTTTTAATAGAAGCGACATTGAGCACCACGAGATACTTTTGTCGCGAGTAGCCCGGGCTGTATTCTTCCCCCGAGTCTGAGCTTAACTCCCAGACCTGGAATTAACCCAGTCATGTTGTAGAGATTCTTCCAACGCATGGAGCCACTACTGTCATCGACGCCAACAGTTGCTACGGGCCAGGACATGAGAACTGCTGCTAGCAATAAACCTGCCCTTATACTGCTCTTAGCTACGGAGCCTGCGGTATCATCTAAGAACACTTAACTTTTCATTTCATTGAACTCTGCTGACATGGAAACAGTCACTAGAATGAGGTTAAGCTCCTGTCATACTGCCTCTAACAGGGACCAACGTCTCAAACGCGCATAGTTGTGAACCTGAACCAAAAAAAATTAGTGAATGTGACAAAGAACGTACCACGATATGGCAAAGCCCTGGGCATATAGCGAAGTGCTTCGTAAGACGCGGCCGAACACGTAAACAGAATGGTTCGACGAGAGGCATGACATACCGGCGGCAATGTGCCAGGAGACTGGGCTAGTTGCGAGCGGTAGCTTTAGAGGATCAAGTTTTTGTTATAAAATTTACAGTGGTGGAGAGTCTTGGAATGAGATGCGGGCAACTAATGCTGAAATGGAATTCCTCTCGGCGGCAAGTATAATGTCTGATGAAGCACCGAGGAACGGGCAGAACGAGAACGACGACGGGGTTGCAGCGATGCTCAGCCTGCCCGACATGCTACGAAGAACTCTTTTAACGGATTTGTGAAGAAGATAAAATAGAATGTTTACTCAGTCATCTATTTGAGGTCGCCCCAAGAGCATAGTCCAAGCATGACAGTTATTTATGCGAGGTCTATAGCCTCGATTCAGTAGTCACTCAAGCTCTGTTGGGTGGACAACGGGCTACAGCCAAACAAGTGCATTGCTGTAGGTTTCCCAAAATGACTATTCCGCAAACTATGATCTCAGAGTCTTGCCGCGCAATGCCACTTTCGTCAAGCTTCGGGAGACAATCTCCGGTTCAATGCAGCCGATGCAAATATGAAAATATGACCCACGACCTTTTGTCGTCATGATGAGTAGCGGTGACATCAGTGTTGGAGCAACTCCATAACTTCTCGCCACTCAGGACTCAACACCCCAGAGGAGAAAAAGAAATCAAGGACATCTATACGGAGAGGATTCAGCGGGGTGTTGTCATGTAGCATTCATGGCATACGTATGACACTCGCTACTTGCCTCGATTCGCTTGTCTCTTCAGGTAAGCACACGGCCGCAACGGAATAAATAGGCTGAGTCCCGACGAGCATGCCACCCATTTCCCGACGCACAGCGATATTACTCGCATCGAGTATCAAATCGAGGACTTTCCGCTTTGCTCTTCCTGTAAAATCAAGACCTCATAGCGCCCCTTTCAGAATGGCAAGCACAGATGCCTTGACAAGCAACTCGCTTTTCAAACTTCAGGGCCGAGTAGCCCTCGTCACAGGTCAGCCAAATACTGTCCCCAGCCCGCAACAACGACCTGTCGCCAACATGAAAGTTTCATCATAGGTGGCGGCTCGGGCATCGGGCTGATGGCCGCACAAGCTCTTGCCGCAAACGGCGCCAAGGTCTACATCACAGGCCGGACAAAGGAGAAGCTCGACACTGCCAAGTCGCAGCATTTCGGCGATGACAATAGCAATGTCATCACGATCCAAGCCGACGTGTCCTCCAAGGAGAGCATACAATCCCTCGTTAAAGAGATAGAGTCGCGTGAGAAATGCCTGTGCGTCCTTGTCAACAACGCCGGCATTGCGGCGGACCACCACCAGACGGCCGAGGCCAAGTCGGCATCGGAACTGCGAGACTCGCTGTTTCAGCAGTCCGACTTTGACAACTGGACTGACGTATATAGAACAAACGTGGCTGCCGTCTACTTCACCACGGCGGCGTTTTTGCCATTGCTGCAGGCGTCCAGCGAGAGACACGCTGGCTGGTCAGGCACCGTCATCAACATCACGTCGATTTCGGGTCTGGTCAAGACGTCGCAGCACCACTTCAGCTACAATGCGTCCAAGGCAGCAGCGAACCACGTCACTCGCATGTTGGCCGCAGAGATTGGAGCTGCAGGGCTGAAGATCCGCGTCAATGGCATCGCGCCGGGCGTCTTCCCCAGCGAAATGACGGCCGGAGAGAGCGACGAGGCTCAGAAAAGCCAACTGCCGAAAGACAAGTATCAAGGTAAAATACCGGCGGCTAGGCCCGGCAAAGACGAGGACATGGCATCGACCGTCTTGTTCATGGCCGCCAACCAGTATGTCAACGGACACATTGTTGTGGTTGATGGCGGGTACACGCTCTCAGCGGGCATGTAACTATTATTCGGATGGGGCGGGAGAAACAGAAACTGAATGATGCCATCTTGGAGCAATAGAAGATGAGGAATTGTGCTTCTAAAATGAGAATCAATTGTTTTGAGCTACGAATCGTGACTCGGGTGCATGTGTCTGGTTTAAGTTCAGTTTAGTCCCTGATTGGCAAGTTGCACCAGCTTCACCAACCAAACATGAACTGTGGATCACGTCTGATCAGCCTTGTGACATATTCCATGCTGATTTGCTAGTATCGGGGCGGCCGGGGCGCCTCAGAACTTTGCAACTCCAAGCGCATCTTGCCTCCACCGGGCATCCCTGGAGGCATCCAGATGGCATCCCAGCCGGCACATGCGCCTAGTTGAATATGTATCCCCTTCCATCAAGCTGGATGCAAGATGACACACAGATTGGGAGTTGCCTTGGCTCTCGACTGACGAGCTACCCACCCACCTCTTCTCTCTCGGAAGTTCGAACCCGATAAACTTCCTGGTAGGATTTGCCCTTGCATTTCGACCGAGGCTTCGCCTCCCCGCGGCCACGCCCTGCGAAAATGGCCCAGACGGAGAATGAGGACGACGAGCACTCTGGGACGGAAACCACAAACTTCACCTTTGTCACTAGCCAGGGCCAACATGGCGTCCGCAGTCATGCCATGCGCGAGTACTGGAAACAGCGGCGGCGCAAGCTGAGCGAAAAGAAGGCCAACGAGGCAGGACACAAGCCATACCTACCTATCCGGCCGCGGAAGAAAAACTCTGGCCACGTTGCTGGCGCTTCTCCATCACGGTCGCAGTCGCAGTCGCAGTCGCGGTCGCGGTCGCAGTCGTCCTCTGCCTCGCCTGGCCATTCCAGCCCGCCATCAAGAACGAAGCGCAGCCCTTCAGGCCCGCGGTCCAAGGCGAAGCAACCGTCCGTGGCCCTCGGCAGCATTCAGTCTCAGGCTCTATCTGGAATGAATCGTGCCCTGGGGTCCAGTCGGTTGGATCCGTTTGACAAGTTTCCTGTCAAATTAACAGCCCAGCATCACCGGCTCCTTCACCATTGTAAGTGTGCTAGTTGGTCTATCATTGCTGGTTTTCTCCCGTGATTTCTGACCCAACTTCTGCATCTTAGGGCTGAGCAAGTATGCTACCATGATGTTTAATGACCTGCCGCGAAGTTTCAACCCAATGCGCGACGTCTGGCTACCCCTAGACTTGTCCAACGCAGCATCGTTTAATGCCGTAATGGCCCATTCAGCTGCCCATCTTGCTCGAATGCAAGGATTCCGAACCTCTGCAGAGGCATTGAAGTTCAAGGCAGAGGCGATGAGAATCGTCTCCGTCTGGATGAAGGACAAGCACCTCGCTCTGAGCGACGAGGTCTTTGCGGCCGTGCTGCGGCTCCTGACGTACGAGGTTAGCAGCATCCAGCAGACGATTGAGCATCGCAGAGCAGTATCTGACACACTCCTTTGAAAATAGCGATATTGGGGCACTGAAGCAGAGTGGAGGATCCACCGCGACGGATTGCAGCGCATGATCGCCGCCCGAGGCGGACTTGCGGCTCTACAGAGCAACTGGCGACTGGGATTGGTTGCTTCGCTGTTGGTTCCTGCTTTTGTTTCCCGCTTGAATCTTGCAGTCAAGAGTGCTAACTGCCGTCCGTAGTATAAGTCTCATGGCCAAGCCATCGTGGTTTGACACCTCTAACCAAATCAAGGAGATCTGGAACCCGTCGTTGTCGGCTGCACTACAGCCTATTTTGAACGACAGCACTAGTCTTCATCGTATTCGGTGCTTGTGGCTTCTATCCTTCGTTCAAGATATAGGCAACTTTATGAGCAGTCCGTCGAACAAGAATGGCTTGACCAACAGAACCTGCATACAGAACGCAGTCGTCCTGATCCAAACGGATATGCGGCAACACGAGTCCAAAAATTCCCGTTTCGAAGACTGCCAAGAGGGAGAGTACAGACGCCTGGCTTGTCTTTTCTTCATCTCTGTCATATTGCAAGCCTCCATGAGCAGGGACACGGATACAAACATCAGCCAAAGGTCTAGCGAACCTGAGCTCATGCACTCGGACGACGTGGCCTCGTTGGAGAAGCATCTTGACGAATATAGAGACTTTTGGCACAATTCGACACAACGCCTTTACACTTGTTTGTTCCAAACGTTTGCTGTGCAGTCAGCTAGAGCCTCCAAAACAGACTACGCCCTAAACATGGCTAATGTTCTTGGGTCAATGAGCAGTGAGGCTCGGCATGGGGTGGAGAGGACTCTAATTCATTTATTGTGCCAGGATTCGACCGACTCGAGAGAAATCTATGAGCCTGAATGGACACCGGATACTTTATTATCAACCCTTCACGGCGCTTGATCAAGCGAAACGCGCTAGGTAATGAAATGAAATAGATATTCTATGTACATGTGGCCCCGACGCATAACACTACTTGGCTCCGTCCGACATTCAATTACCCAAGCTTCTCCAGGATAGACGTGGGCGGTGCGTAGAACGTCGTGCCTGTTAGAGGCGTCGAGAAATCCAAGATGCGGTCGTGCTTGCCCGGCGGGTTACCGATAAACATGCGCTCCATCATCTTTTCAATCACCCATAGTTTCTTGGAATACCCAATGAAGTAGGTGCCAAACTCCTTGTGCCCCGGCGACCCAAAGGGCATGTTGTCTCGCAGAATGTCATGCTCGTTGCCGTCCTCGTCTTGGATCGTCGCCAACGTCTTGTGAGATTGTTGCTGCCCTTGCTGAGCGTCGTCAAGCTCCATGTTGTCCAGCTTGGTTCGGCCAATGACGGCCTCTTGCTGCTCAGTGGACAATCCGCGCCAGCCATCTATATCGTGGACGTATTTTTGCACCACGATATAACTTCCGCCCACGGCAGCCGCGTCGTCTGCCTCGGCAATACAGACGGCGTCTGCCACGTCCGATCCGACAGGATTGGCGGTGCCGTCGACGAATCCCAAGAGATCGCGGGCGTCAAAGTAGCGGAAACCGGTGGTCTCGTCCTCCACCTTGACGGAGCCGCCCAGCTTCATGAGCAGCTGGTTCTCGAATTCGAAGCTGACGTCTCTCCTCTCGGCGCGTATGTGGAACAAGAGATCGCCGGGCGTCGAGACGGCAGTGTGCTTGGCTCCGCGGACCTCTGGGAACGCGTGCAGCTCCTTGGGCTTGGGGATGCCGGTGAGTCGGTCCCAGACCGAGCTCCCGATGCCAACTACGCAGCTTAGATTGGAGCTGGGATGGCGGATGGACACGTTCTTGGTAATGTCAGCGACAGAGGAAAGTGCGGCGCGGATCGTGGCGATGGCATCCGGCGACTCAGTGGCCGAAACGACCAGGAACGTCGCCGACTGTGTGAGGGGGCTTGCCACGGGCTGGGAACTCATTGTTGATTTGGACGACGTGTAGCGGGCGAGGGCTGGACCTGCTCGTCTGGCTTGGAGGGCGAGCGTGATGCGGGTCGAGGTGACGATCAAAGAGGGCATTGGAACCCCGGCTCGATGGCAAAGACCCAAGTCAAGACTCAAGACTCAAGAGCATGAGTTGGCCGCGGTGCTCCGAGTCTGGACCGCCTTTGACTCGGGCTAGAACTGTTGATAGTGGGTTGAGCGAGATGACATCACAACCCCGCCGCTTCCCGGACGTCTTCCGCGCCTCATGGCCAGAGCTTGATTCATGTCCAATCTGTCATCTTGCATCTTGGAGGCTTCGATTGCTCCAGAGTCCAGCCAGTTTTCCCCACTGCCCGGCAACTTCTGGCCGGGGCCCCGTCTGCAGCCCAATCCGGTAAGAGTATTGAGCCAATGAGTATTGCCGGAATTCCAATCGCCTTGCGGGCACCAAGCGCATGCTAGTACTACTGCTGGTGATTGGTGGCGTAGCATTCGTGGACTTCATCAAAGAAGCGAACCTGGAAGGTTTATGAGTGCTTTTTGTTGTAGGCGCTTTGCTTAGTAATTAGGTCTCTTAGGGGCATGTAGCATAAGAAATGGAAGGTAACATGTTGTTTAATGGAATATTCTTCTCTTTTCAAGACTCGAATGTCGAAGCATGTAGAGACGTTGACGGTGTGACTGATGTGCAGGGGTAGCATTCCCGCATGCACATGCTCCAGAATGTAGCCTCAGGTGCATATCTGTTAAATTCCAATTCGAGATGAAGTCTAGTAGGTGCCACTATAAACATATGCACGTGTATATGAAAGAGAAATCTCTTGAACTAAACCAGTCAACGCCGACCTATGCAGTGCCCCAAACCTCATCAACGTCAACGCCAGCGCTCTGAAATATGAGCACTTTAATTTCTTTTGTGTTCCCCAGATGTTTGAAGGAATCAGACAAGACCTATATAAATTTCCTACATGACCTGGCAACTTTAGAATGACGCATCACTAGCCCCGTTGACAAGCAATTCCTTCTTCGGAGCCGCCTTAGATATCTCGTTGAAACATCCAGCGCTGGCCGCTACAAATCCCAACAAGGCAGGCGAAGGGCTGAGGACTTTGCTAGTGAACTCGGGGTGTGCTTGCAGTCTAGTCAACAGCGTTAGTAATTTTCGGTAAAAACAAGTTATATCCACGACATTGTCTAGCTTGCGTGACTTACCCGACAAAGAAAGGGTGATCCTTCAGTTCAATCGTCTCGACACGCACACCTTGGTCATCAAGTGAAGTCACGCTGAGTCCAGCATTCTCCAAATCCTCAATGTACTCGGGATTGACCTCATAGCGATGTCGGTGACGCTCCTCAACGACGTCAGCGCCACCGTACATGGCGCGAAGCTTACTCCACTCCGTCCCTGGCTTGAAGTGAGACGTTCGAGTGCCAAGTCTCATCGTTCCGCCCATTTGCCTAAAAATCTCGGTCAGTAAATGTCCGCGGTCGTTCTGAATTGTTTGTGAATGGCGGCGACTTACTCCTTGGACCCTTCTGGCATGAAAATGATGACGCGATGCTCCGCATGGGCAGATATTTCTTCAGACGTAGCATCTTTTAATCCCATAATATTGCGGGCGTACTCCATAACTGCAACCTGTAAACCGAGGCAGATTCCAAGGAACGGAACTTTGCGTTCTCGAGCCCACTTTGTGGTTTCAATCATGCCTTCCACTCCCCTAGAGCCGAAACCGCCTGAACCACTGTTAGTTTGGTATAGGCACCTCGCGATTCGTACAACTTACCAGGGACTATAATTCCTTCAGCTTCGCAAAGAGCCTTCCAAGCGTTGTGGTACTTGGTGGGGTCCTTCTGCTGCATGTCGTGCTCGAGGTGCTCGGAATCCACCGAAACCAGGTTCAGCTTACGACCGCATCGCATAGCTGAGTGTTCAAGCGCCTTATGCACGCTGAGATATGCGTCATCGAGAGTCACATACTTTCCAACCAGGGCGATATTAACGGGCTGGAGATGATGCTTGGGGCTGACGGTTTTGGTCCAGATGTCCCACAGGGCTTGCCCCTTCTGGACTCTGGCTGGTGGCAAAGTAGTGTTGTCGAGAGCCAAACCCTTTCGCAGCTGTTTCAACAGACCTTCTTGCTCAAGAAGTAGAGGAACCTGGTAGATGGTCTCCATGTCTCTAACGCCAATGACTTGCTCGTATTCGACTTGACAGCTTCGAGCGATTTTCTGGATTGTCCCGTCGTCAAGTTCCCGTTCGCAACGACAAGCAACCTAGAACTAGTTAGGCAGCTGCAAGGCGCAACTCGGGTTTTTCTTTTTCTTTCTAGCTTACCATGTCGGGAATCAACCCAGCCATTCGCATTTGTTTGATAGCGTGTTGTGTTGGCTTGGTCTTCTCCTCCCCGTTGATAATGGGTACATATGACACTGCGATGCTGAAGAAATTTTCTCGACCGAGTCTGTGTCTAAGTTGCACCAAGGCCTCAATGAAGGGGGCAGATTCAATGTCTCTAGTAGTGTGTCAGCGGCATAAAATCCCAGCAGTTGGTGCGAAACCTGTTTCAAGTCGGGTGAAGACAGCGAAAGACACATACCCGACAGTACCACCCTAGAAGGTAATAAGTTTAGCACAAAGAGAATCCTACAAATAGCGAGGGTGTGATAAGCAAACTCACCAGCTCGACTGCGGCGATATGTCAGCATAGTTCTACTTGGGATTGTGAATTCTGGCGGCCAATAACATACTAATACAGACATCAGGTTCCTCTCCGGAGTCGTCTACCGGAATTTTGGCGACTCTTTCGATCCATTCTTGCATCGCATCTGTGATATGAGGAACAACCTGGACAGCTAATATATGGTTAGCAATCGTCCTATAAAGAGGCTAAAGCATGCTGGGAATGGTCAGTTTGTGGGTGCCATCGGCTGATGGCATGCCTACCCCAGCATTACAGGAGACAAGGCCGGGCTCATTTCCAATTACATACTCTTTCCCAGGTAATCGCCTCGTCTTTCTTTATCCTAGCAGGAAATTACAATTAGTGTGGGATTACGCAATTGCGGCGTCGGGATTCTTTCGTACGAGGACGAGCTTGTAGATTTTGCCAGTGGTCATGTTGCTCTCGTTACTAAGCTGAATGCCGAGATACCTGGATATTATATTAGCACAGCCTTCTCCAGTGCCAGACGTTGCAGCACATACCGTTCGTAGTTGCCGAGGTCGAGATCTGTCTCTCCGCCGTCCGCAAGAACGAAGCATTCTCCATGCCTGATAGTTCGGTCAGCCGATGTTTGTATCGTGAGAGGATCGGAAGGCAGTCGGGGAGTCTTGCTCTAGGGGGTTCAACAATCCAGCATCGGTGTTGAGATATGGGTCAAGTTTCTGGGCCTGTAACTCGTGGTATGAGCGTAAAATTGTACATTTGCGAAAGGGTCGTAATAGTGTTGACGTACGGTGACTCGAAGGCCGAGGGTTTTGAGAAGAAGACCAGAACTACTGGCTATGGGAGCTCGTCAGTGATTGTAAAATGAGGGAATGCCGTGCTAGAATGCTGCTATACCAATAATTCCTAAGTTTTCCCCAATAAGTCAGCATGATGATCCATAGTCCGCCAGGGCGTGCTGACAATATATTGATGCGTGAACCTCGGGGACAAGTGCAATGGACGTACCCTTTCCCACGCCAGATATGACACCGCCGCTCACAAGGACTACACGCATCTTGATAGTCGATTGAAACCTGCTAGAGGGGAAACAAATGGATCGAAGTTTGGCGATGCGATGTAATGGGCAAAAAACTTTTTTAAACGCGTCAAGATGACTAATAGATTAAATGGGGCGAAATGGCACCTCGAACGAAAAGTGGTCGCCCGCGACTAAGAAACTCACTGTAACCCCACTCAAGGAATCAAATATTATTCCCGGTTCATTGCCGACATGGCGGAAGAGCATTAGCATAGGGCGACGCACCAGCGCCTCACTGACCAGAAACTAGTTTCCCGCCATGCAAGTACTATAAATATCAAGTGTATCGGAGATTTTTTTCGGTGAAAATGAAGGGTGCGGCCATATTGAAAGCTGGGGTTAGTACAAATACAGGAAGGATATGTGTAGTCTCCTCGTGTAGGCCCGAAAATTCGACCGAATGAAGTCCCGTAGAAGCCAGTGCGGCGTACTAAAATTTGCATCATTACGTAGGAGCTGAATCGTCATCTGGGGGTAATGCTGGCATAAATCTTCTGGGCCGGGAACAAGCTCCGTTCGGGTACAGACTCTCATTCGATTGCCTTCAAGTACCTAGGTAAGCGCTGTGAAAAGAGAAATTACACATAAATGCGTCCCAAAATTTTGTAAATATCAGGGATTTATGCCTCCATGACTTGAACGAATACTACCGTCGGCATAACGCTAAGCCAAATACAGTCAAGACAGAACATCGCCGTGACGTGGCGATTCGCACCAGACGTCGGCTCTTTACTATAATCTTAGTTGATATTAGACTTTTTGTATCTGGCTTCTTCCTCACACGAAGAGCGCACAATGGAGAATGTGAGGCAACTAGCAGCACAAATCGCAAAACGCTTTTTTCATCTCTTGTCAAAAGAAGGCCCCCCCTCCACAATCATTCCGAACATGACTGACCAACTCACTCTTCACGATGGGGGCCTATCCAGGTGGTTTGATATACCTGAACGCAACGCTGCCTTCTCGTTCCGCTCACTGGTACTCTGTCATGGCCCATGAGGGTCCTTCGAGCGGGTTTGCGCCATATGTAGACCACCCGGAAGAATACCAAGTCTTTCTATCAGCAAAAGCAAATAAATCAGAATCCATCCAAGTGGCCATCGATTCTGCCGCCGGGTTGAACCACAATGCGGCCCAAGAACGTCATGGCTACTGGGTGTCGTCTATGCCACGGGTACGTGGTACCCAGGGACCAGTGTGTGGAAGTGCTTGAACGCTGATGTTTGATATTGCAGGTGGTCTATGTTCCTCCTGGGATCTACACGTTTGAAAATCCCCTGGTCATGAACACGGATACCATTCTCATGGGTGACGCTCGTGATCCTCCCGTCATCCGTGCGGCTCCCAACTTTGCACACGATGTGCTTCTTAATGGTGGCTAAAACACCCCTTTTTTTCGATCATGACACTCCTACGACGGCAATAGGTAGCTAACCAAACGTGGTTTTTGTACAGGCATGGCTCCCAGTTACATGCCCAACGCAGGCGAATTGGCGAATACAGTGGCCTTGAAGAATATAATTCTCGATACAACGGCCGTAAATAGATGTAAGAGAATAATCCTACCAAAGACAAACACAACTGCTGACATGGAGCGCAGCCAAGGGACTCACCGCGCTCTACTGGGGAGTCGCCCAAGGGTCTCATCTTCAGAACGTCCAAATCATAATGCCACAGTCGATCGACCGCAAAGACGGCCACACTGGCATCAGACTTGGCGTAGGCTCCATTCTCAGCCTGGGCGACGTCCGAATCGAAAATGGCTTGGTCAGTCGATTCCAGGTGCCCATAGAAAGCAACCTTGCTGACATCTGCGGTCCGTATAGAACGGAATCTGGCACGACGGTCACCAGAGTGCTCTTTTTAAAAATATCAGCTTCTACCGCAACACGGTCGGTTTGCGCGTCTCCAACGGCAGCGCTGTCACCCTGCTTGCTCCCACTTTTGAAAACGTCGACGTCTGTGTCAACCACACCAGTGGCAGCGTCTTTGTTGGCATCGTCGACGGCACGTCCATCAACTCTGGCATCACATTCCTCTCGGGGAAAACAAACAACGACATGACCCGGCCTTCCCTTCTCATCGACAACCTGGACAAAAGACGCGACCCGGAATACGAGCCCGAAAACACGGTACAGGTCAAGGGTCGTACTGTCCTTGGTCCTGTTGCCCATGTCAACAGCTTCTCCTATGGAAACACGGTAGGTCGCAACCACATCTACGGCGTGACAACTAACAACAGCATCACACGGTCACGAATAGCTGCTCCCGGCGGCAGAATCCCCATACACCCGCCTCCGAATTACGCACTCAGCGCTTGGTCGGATTTTATAAACGTCAAAGACTCGAAGCAGAATGGTGGGCATACCGTCCGGGGAGATGGCATGACGGATGACGTTCAGGCCCTTACCAAGGTCCTCCAGCACGCCGTCAAAGAGCACAAGATGGTATACTTTCCCTTTGGCGACTACCGTGTTTCTTCGACGCTCGTCATACCAATTGGATCCCGTATACACGGCGAGGCGTGGCCGTCCATCTCCGGGGCAGGCCCGCGTTTCTTGAATGCAGAAAACCCCAAGCCCGTCGTGCAAGTCGGCAACGTCGGCGACGTGGGCACGATCCATATCCAGGACATGCGCTTCACCGTTGCCGACGTCTCCCCAGGCGCCATCGTCCTTCAGTTCCACGCGCACGGCAAGAAGCCAGGCGACGTCGCGATATGGAACTCCATCGTCAACGTCGGGGGACTCCGGGGCGCCCCGGACATGGTGCGGCGCTGCGCCGACGACTCCCACCCGTGCCAGGCCGCCTACCTGGGCATGCACTTCGCCAGAGGATCCTCCGTCTACGCCGAAAACGTGTGGAACTGGGTATCCAGCCGCAACGCCGAGGACTTCTTCGCCGGCGTCGACGTTGCCGCAAAGGGCGGCGTCCTGGTCGAGTCCACCAACGGCACCTGGCTGCACGGCCTGGGCTCCGAGCACTGGTGGCAGTATCAGATCAATCTCCGATCGGCCTCCAACGTCGTCCTGTCCATGCCCAGGACCGAGGCTAATCCCGGGCAGGGCGGCACGGCGAGGCCGATGCTTCCTTGGCCGGGGACATCCGATCCCGGGGGATGGGGAGACCCCGATTACTCGCGGTGCCGTGTCTCCGACCCGGCTTGCCGCACGGGTGTGGGCAACTACATCAACGGAGGGTCGGATATTTACTACTACGGTGCTGCGTCGTGGGTGTCCCGGGCTGGGGCTGAACATCCGCGCTGCTACGCGGGCTACCACTGCCAAGGTATGTCGTGTTTCCCGTTAAGGTCCCTCGGATATCGGAACGCTGCTAACGTGGCCCCTCGCAGAACACATGCACTATATTGCCAAAACGCCCGAGAATCTTCAGGCGTACGGCTTGTGCTCCAACGATACTATGTATGCTCTTCGCCTTGGTGACGGTACTCGCGTTGTAGAGCACGGCACATTTTATGGACCTGGTTGGCCTAAGGGCTCTGTTGTCGGCCGTTATACAACGTAAATCAGAGGATGGTTATGTATCAGGAGTTTGGCTTTGGAAAATCCTTTGGAGATGGTATTCATCTCGGTGTTGCGGGCTTTGTCGACGGTTTTAGCCACATCTATTTTTGCCCATGTCTTTTCGTCGTCGTCCTATTTAATAGAGAATACAATACAAGTTAGACCTTATACGATGATAGCAGAGCCAGGCACGCCAGCTCTACGAGCTCTATATAGTACTTAATTACTTGGGGCAGCACTATTATAAAGTGATACTAGTAGTTATACAACAAAACACCTTCAAGATTCGATCAAGGTACTTATTATTCTTTAATAATCTGGAGTGGACCGTGCATACAAGGTAACGCGCCTTTGAGCAATCCCCAGAACGAAATATATTCTACCAGACATACCCTGCGTATGTACCAAACATCCTTTTGTCCGCGCCCATTTCGAAATATGCCTTTGAAATACTAATTGAACGAAAACGTCGCCCTCTTTTGAGCAAATACGGCCCCTGGCCCTCTGTATCCCAACTCTTGTCTCCAACTCTACCCTGCCAGGCCAATGTTAAAACCACCGTGGCTAGAAATGCGCCCCAGCCGTCCACTTCCCTTTCGTTTCCTCAATCCTCTCCAACGCACCCTCGACCAAAGCACACAAACTCTCCACATCTTCTCCATCACGATGATAAGCCCGGGCCGCCTCCATGCCAACTCGTCGATACTCGGCGGCAAAGATATCCCACAGCTCCCGTCCCTGATCCAAGGCGCTGCCCGGCCGCGGAAAGTACGGATCGTTGCGCCAAAACGCCCGCGCAATCGACTCCAGACCAGAGTCATTCGCCTCAATCGGCCTGGAGCAGTCAAAGTCAAGCATCCAGACGGCATGCTCCTCAAGGGGCATGTCTGCATCTCCCTCCCCGCCTCTGTGGGCACCCAGCACGAATTCGACATCGTTGCCACTCGTCCTGACTTGCCAGTGCAGCGTCGCGAGTGCCTCTGCCATGGCCCTGGCGTACTGCCTGCAAGGGAGCCCGAGGTCATGGGCCTGGTCCGCGTGAAGGGGGTAATTGCGGAGGCTGAAGAACTGCGGTCGGGGGCGGTGCTGCTCCTCGTGCGCGTATAGATGTCTTCGTCGTCCGAGATACAGGCGAACCAGGCAGTGCTCGCCCTCTCCGTCCCGCGCCTCTATCGATCTTCGGAGCGCCTCGCGGTGCGGCGCTGGGCAGTACTTGTCGATGAGGAGTAACTGCGCCTGCGTCGATACCGGGTTGATTTTCTCGGCAATCATGGCTCTGCATGCTTTTAATCCAGAGGGCAGGAGTGGCAGGAGCTGCTGCCATCTTTTGTCGTCGCTCTTCACGAGACCGAAGCATTGGGGGATGGAGGTCAACTGTAGGGTGCTTGCTGCGCGGAATGCTTGCGACTGTACGAGGGTCTCGTTCTTGATGTCCCTGCCTGGACTCGCGTCTTCGCGTTTGAGAATCATGTCGACGTCGACGTTCTGGTCGACGCTGGCATTGTTGTGGGCATTGTGCTTCAATGTGCCCCAAACCGAACCACAGTTGCCAAAGCCGATTTGTCGTAAAGAACCAGAAGCGGTCAGGGACAGGTCAGATTCCATGGCGGGGTAATAGCTATGTAATGTGTGATGATGAATAGATTAATAGTAGAGGGTGTGCTTGGTGAACAATAGGACAGTCAGTTGCGTTGACAACGAAGATGCAAATAGAAGACGACCAGACCGGTCTATTTGTAATTGGGCTGGTGGTGGGGTCGAATCCATCAAGCTTCGACATTGCCTCTTAGCCACGAGTTCGTCTAAACCTTGATGCCCTAGATACTACACTCTAATGTAGCAGGGGACTTTGACAACGGTTTGGTCAAGTAGTGCTTGATTTGCTCGTAATAGACTTGACTGATTTAGCATCTATTCTCCAGCCTCTGGTAACTGCAGAGCATTAACAGATAAAGCAAGTATAAATGTATTTTGTTTTGTATTTCACGTTACATTATACTATATGCGGCATGTTAGGGTCTTATAGCGTGGTACGGCTCAAGTACAGTGTCACTAGTGCCTTGCATGGCCATCTAGCTCTGTTTTATATTTTTTTATAACTTGATATAGTATAGTAAAAAGATTTAAAAAAATGCATTGAATGCTCTGATTACCTGCGTCGCCCCGCCTGGCGTTGGTACCGCCAAAGCTAGATGCTGACATGTAATTGCAAATCAACGAATAAATTCAACTACTAAACTTTCTCTTCTTGGTGCTCGGCCTTCCTTTTCTTAACAGGGTTAAATATATTCTGGGCATAAGAGCAATGCAAGTAGTCGAGTCCCCTCCTTACTAAACGATCCCTGTATTCTCTCGCAAATCCTTCTATATCTAGATAAATGATGTTTTGGTAAAGTTACTTTTCTTAGAGTGCGAGATTCTTGGAGAGGAAAACTCGGTACACATGAAAGAACTTTCTCAGAAGTTTCCTGTCGGTGCTTCCCAGGGGACAACAACGCCAGTCGAACTTTGCGTGAAATTCAAACTTCGGGCACAAAGAATACCATACTTCTAGAGCTCGCTGCAACTACATCCAGAAACATGTCTTCATGGTTTCAAAAACGCTGCCTGTACATTCTCCCATTTTTCCAACTTTGCAGCCTTAGTTGGGACCAATATACGTGACGCTGACGGTTCCATCCGAGTCAACACTACTGCTAGTAAGAGTCCGGCCGTTGATGTTGATATTAACAATGCCAGAACCAGCAGCCGTGACTTGCTTTCCGGGGCTCTTAGCAACAGTGTCGAAAATCTTAATCGTGCCCCAGTTCTCCAGGGCGACCGGCTGACCGTCGTACTGCCAGTCTTCGAGGATCCATTCAGCATCCGTCTCGCAGAGCGGGTAGGCACTCTCGCTTGTAAACGTATGCGAGACGGCGTGTCCGCTGCTCAGGTTCTCGACGGTTGTGGTGCCCGAGGTGGTGGACGTGGCGTGCACGGTAAAGCGCAGGGTATCATTAGGTGAGAAGGCGAGGCTGGCCTCGTAGCTTTGCATGGGGTGCTTCCACCATTCTGTCCATAGCCAGAATGTGCCGTCTCCGTAGGCCACGAGGCCGGTCTGCAAGATGGCGCTCGTGCAGTCGTCGCCGTCGATTCCCACCCACATGTTTGCCGAGTGCTGGTTGTCTCCTCCGCCGAAGCTGGGGACGACTACGCTGCCTTGAACGTAGTTCCAGCCGGTGCCCGGAGGGCCTTCTTGCACCGCGCCTCCCCAATAAAAGTCCGCTCGCTTGTTGTGGACGGACGTCTTGCCACTTGGGCCGGTAGTGGCGGCCGGTGCGGCAAAGACGCCCGTCACGGCGGCGAGTGTAAGAGTGAGAGCCTGACGCATGTTGAAAATCTTGAACGAGTTGATGGTTTTACAGGGGACTGGCATATGGCAGGGTCGACAGGAAGAAATCGCAGGCTGGCTGGCGATTCTATCCAGACTCGCTGTGACGGGCCATTGCCTTGGACTTTATACGCGAACCTCATCATGACGGGCAGCGTACGCTTTGGTAAAGCAAATCTAGGTACTTGCCTAAATGGAAATAGCCTGCCATGATCGGCAAACCGTTAGCGCACTGCGATTTTTATGATTGACTAGATGTAGAAGGACCTGAACTAGCCCACCGGAAATTAAACCCTAAGACCGAGATGGGAGTTGTCGTTGAAGAAGGCAACAGCATTTCTAATATTCTATAGTCGTGTAATTACGTACAAGAATTAGAATGTAATACATAACAAAGTGCTCGAGTCGTTGGGGAGCTGATGTCCAAGGTCTTTGTTGGGCTTTTATTTTTGCTTTCCAGTTTCATAGAACATGCGTCATGATGAAGCTACAGACAACACTACAGAGACGACGAATATATATATTCACTTGTTACTTTGCCGTGCCGACTCTGCTACTTGGGCTTCAATGCGCCGTGCAATTAGATTCTCATACCCGCAGATCTGTTTGTTGCGAAATTGTTGAAATCAGCGATACCTTGTATCCGGTATTACCCATCTTAGAGTCTCCAAAAGTGGGATTTCATCACCACGACACGTGGTGTCTTGCGTAGACGCAGTTACGCAGTGGGAATACGAAAAAGGAAGGCCAGCGTTCATGGCGCAAAACAAACTTGGGATGGAAACGTGTCAATACTATCTCCCTAGAACGTTCTTCTGTGTCTCGGGTATATCGGCATTGTTAGCTCGATACTGTTCCGGCCCCGGAGGCGCTACTCGGGCCTCGCAGTGCCGATGGTATCAACTATACGAGGCGAACAATTTTAGATGCCCTGACCTTCCCAATTGCGTAACGCCTCTTTTAGAAAAGTTACAAGTCGGGATGGTAATTCTGCCACGATTCTCTTCCGCACATGAGATGGATAAAGGGGGCAGCCAACAGGCAAGCTTTCGCCCGTCATCGGCCCATGTTGGTGTTTTTGTCGCCCTTTTAGATGTCCATGTCGGAGGTGCACTGACGAGCTGCTTTCATCTGTTCAGAATTCAGATTCCCAGACATTTGTCTGACGTGGGGCTGGCGTCGCGTGGCATCTCGATCAGATCGAGCAAATTACCATCGAGGCTTTATGTGGGCTGGCCTCGACTTTGCCGTCTAGCTGAAACCGTCGAGTCGTGACGAGACACGATGCGGTTTGCATCACAAAGCTTGCACCAGCCACAAGGCAACGGATGTCGAGGTAAAAATAGCCCAAAGGCCCTGGCGATCCTGGCGGTTTCCAAACCAAACCTGCAAGTCTGGACCGCTGCCTGCTTATCTGCCTGCGAATTCAAAGTGGCCAGGAAGCAGAGAGCAGAAACGGTGTGAGGATGTCAACCTGTGTCCAAAGCAGTGGTAAGTAAGCCTTTCGGCCTCAACCACGCCTCGAGCCCTTGTCCAATTATCGCCAAGTATCGCCAAGGCTCGGTCCGTGCCGCAGTGCTATTGACGCGACTTCTATGTAGCACGTCAACAGTATTTCGATTGAGGGTCCCTATGATGGCCGAGTGATTGCAGAGACGGGCATAGGCGATCCAACTTGCCAGATAACTACTATCCAGTAGGTAGGTCTGTACAATCTCATTAATCTCTTTCATGGGCGAGTTCCCTTTTGCAACTCCTCGCAGCTGACTGTGCCCCCGTAGCAAGTTGGCCATCAAAAGCCCCATTGCAATGCATGATTACATATACATATGTAGCTGCCGGAGTCCGTCCGTTGGTTTCACATACTCCATCTCTGACAGGGGACTTGTATATGAAGTGCCTTGTCCCTGCAACCCCCGGTTTCCAAATCATCTATCCCGGGATAACACCCCTGACTCCGGACTAACCTCAGTGCTATGAATTATTCTTCATGCGCGACCTGACCGGGTAGCTGGTAGTAGGGGGTAATATACTAATTATAGCTTATATAATGTAAGAAATTAAGCATTAAAAAAGGTTTTATACTAAGCTTTTTTAATTAATTATGAACCCCCCCCCCCCTGCTTGGTCACGCATATTGTAGAATAATTCAAGGGTTGGACTGTATAAAAACATGGAAACTTCGTCGTGCGGGGTAGCGGGCGTCACAGAGTCAATTAGCCTATATCGTTGGCAAATAGGGATGGTCGATTGGTGAAACGAGGGCGTTTTGTCTCGGGGCTGCGGCCTTGTTATAGCCATGGAGTTATTTTTAACCTCTTTCATGCGCCGTATCTTCAAGCCAGAGCAAACATTTGAAGGCTACAGGACCGATATCATGACTCGTCCGTTAAACCAATAACATGCTTTAAAAATATGCTCGACTGCCAGCGCATCGCACCGTACATGTAGATCTGTATCAAGTTGGCGGTGTGTCACACCCTGCCTTGCTCATACGTACATCTTCCATCCATGACACAATACGTTCGGCAATGATAAGCGCCCATTACGGTTCAGCCCGGAACGGAGTCCATTGGAATATCCACACCAGTTTCATTTTAGAAACTCACGTACCGTAAATCATCGCGGCAAAGTCCTTTTTGCAGAAGCTGATGTTTTTATAAAATGCTCAAGATATCCCAAGCATCGTGACTCCTTTAAACACACTCACCACTCCAACTTATCAAGGCTACTTTGACCTACACTACCGGTATAACCAACGCTACATCGTCTTTCAGTATCAAAATGAAGCTCACTGCTGTTCTCGTCATCGCATCCGCCATCAGCGTCCACTGCCAAGCCAGCAACTCTACAAGCCGCACCTCAACTATCACTGCGCCACCTACTGCGCGTCCAACGTGAGTAAACATGACGATGCTACACAAAAGTAGAGACTGAAACTGACCCCACGCAGAACCAGTGTCGGGACGACCTCGCGAACAACATCACGTACAAGCACTACGGTGGTCGCTGCCGGGCCGAACCCCGTTGCCCCTGGACTCGGCCTGGCTGCTCTCATGGCTCTTGGTGCCTTGGTGTAACTGCCTTTTGTAGCGAGCGCAGCAGATGATATTCTTATAGCGCGTGGGTGAATCAGAGGCATTGGGAATGAAGCGAGCCTCCAGATGGAACAAATAGTCGCTGTGAGGCTAAACCACTCTACTCTTGGTTAAGGAATCTTGCAATTTGCCCATGGAACACCGAGCGAGCAAGCAAGGGTAGCAATCTGGAGGCTCACTTTGAGCTTATAACTGTATAGTAGGGCCTCTACTAGCTCTTGCGTTGGAATATCGCCAGCGTTTTGAATACTTCTCTGCGTCTCATGCCCACATTCACCTTGTAAGGAGCTCGGCATCTTCTTTTTTTGTGTGGGTTCTTCTTTGTCTCGTAAGCTAACAGGTTGTTTCATTTCACTTGTACGGGCAGCATGGACGATGATTCCCATGCGGTTAAAGCAATTGCAGGTATTTTAGTCAACCAGAAGCCACCGCAATAGGAGATGATTGTACCACTGTGTTGCCGAGAACGTAGTTGAAAAGAAGTTATGCACGTATAGAATTCTGAGAATCTATTTCTAGTCTAGTACAATACCGTTGCTATTATGATGTAATTAATACACTAGGCATATAACAGTCTAAGCGTGGTGAATAAAGTCTTCATGTTTCCTTTGAATGTATATACCGCCATATTATGCTTTGCAATCGCCATTTTCGTCCAGAAAGAATATATTCTTCCTTCTAGCCCCCTCCTCTTTTGTAACCAACTCCGTATTCCAGTTCATATGCGCGGCTATTCGATCTTTTCCCTCCCCGCGAAGCTGCTTCAAACTCTCGGCATATGTGTTTTCGCGAAACATGAACAGTTGGCCATTGACGACTTGGGTTTGGTCAAGTAATCTCACGTTTAGTCTCCTCTTGCTGCTGCTTTTGGGTATCATGTCTTGGGTGATGCCGCTCGGAAACGGCTCAACGAGGCCTGCTCGCCCATCGTTCAGCAGCACATCCATGCCGCGCTGGTCATCCTGGAATACGCGGCTCCGATACATTCCCATCCGCCACCAGGGGGCTTCAAACACATCAAGCATCTCTGACCACAACGAAATAGTCTCGTTGTTGCTCTTCATCCAGAATAAACCGTTGCAAATTGGCGGCACAAGCGAGCCTCTGCGATACTCGTCTTGGAAGGCATCATGGCTGGTGTAGAATTCTCGCGCATCGGTGCTGTAGACCATGTCGACGGCTGCTCTGTCGCTGTCGTTCTGTGGCATGATGACCAGGGGCGATTGCCAAAACACAAGATCGGCATCAATCATGAGAACATCATAGCCTGTGGATAGAAAATCGACAAAGAACTGCGGGCGTTGGCGCATCATTCGATGGTAGGCCGGAGTGTTGCCGTGGACGTTGAGATTGCCGCTTTCGGCCCAAAGAGATGCATCTCGATAGGTGGCAAACCCCCTGCGGTCCAGCGTGGTCTGCGCACCCTCATCCAGGGCCCAGAACACGATGGATTTCGGGTTGAAGGAGGTCGCGGAAAGAGAGCAGAGCAGGTTTTCCATCAAATGGAGCATGCCCGTATTCACCGGGACAATGACTACCGTGTTGTTGATTGCATGCGACGCGAATGTTTGCAGGTCGCTCTCTGGAACACCATGGCTTCGCTGCATGGATGTCGACGATTCGGCAATGGGAGCCCAATAGAAGTAGACGACGCATAACAGGAACGCTACCGCAGCGATTTTGATGCGAGGTTTTCGCGCCATGAGCGAGACGGGGGACCGTCCACGAGCCATGGCCGGCAACTGGTGCAAGAGGTGAGAATGGCAGCGTGTCTTGGTGTCGGAAATCGCTGAAGGAAGAAAATGGCGCCGCTTCAAGTCGGCACAGCCCCCTTGGTTCTGCCTGCTCTCAGGGGCATCGTGGCATCTGGCTCCAAGGCTCGAGCAGCCGCGTGGCGAAGAGATGCGGATTCAAGTCTGAGAAGGGGTGTCAATTCATTCTAACACAGAAATCATCGGTTGGTATCTCTTTTAATCAAAGGAACCGCAAACGTGAGGCCACGGGAACTGGTGCGCGTACATGATTCGACCACATCTAGCGATCCCTTGCCCCTTGTCAAGTCCGAGTAAGACTGGCACGTGAGTGGGCTCGGTGTGGCGCCCCAGGTACCTGAGAAACCAAGCGGAGCCGAGTTGCCTGGGAACAAACATCGACTGACCAGCCAAAATGAAAATCCTTGGCGATGATGGTGGATGTCATTTGCCTTGGACCGCGTACGTACTGCAGTGACGAGAATCAGCAAAGGGCCAAGGACTCGTCGAGGCAGTCGTTTGGCGGGCGTTGAATGACTAAGCGGTTACGCCTCGCAGTCGGCCTGCTATTGTTGGTACATTGATGCTGCACGTAAGGCACAGTGATTAGCTGACATGGAGATGAATCAACCTACCATTGACCCGACCAGCTGCATCTACTTCAATCCGCCAATCCATCTCCGCTCAACTGCGCCGCCGGCAAAACATGACGGCCATCGAGACTGCGAACATGGCCGCACTTCCCAAAGACTTCGCAGCCATTCCGCGGCTGGCACTAACTTTCTCGACACCTCTGTTGATCGAGCCTCTAGATCGCCTGACATCACACCTTGGCCAGGGCGGTGAACCTTCGGCACGCGTGTTTGCATGTCGCGAGGATATGAACAGCGGCCTAGGAGGCGGCGGTGGCAATAAGCTGCGCAAGCTGGAGTACGGTAAGCCAAACCAAGCTGCGTGTCTGAGTCGTGCCTCTCCCACGAGCTGACAGACTTTGCGCCAGTATTGGCCGACGCAGTAGCGCAAACTCCCCGGCCAGAATATCTCGTCACCGAAGGTGGGATCCAAAGCAACCATGTTCGCCAGGTTGCGGCAGCAGCGGCGAAATTGGGCTTTAAATCCGTCTTGGTCATCAACGATCTCGTCCCTGAGAGAAGCCATGCTTCGGATCCCCATCTTAGTAGAAGCTACAACGAGCATGGAAATGTGCATTTAACGGAGCTCATGTCTGCAGCGCGTGAAGAACACCCCGGGGTAACGGCCAAGGACCTCCTAGATACGAAACGGGGATATTGGATCCCGTCTGGCGCGTCAACACATCCACTGGGGGGCCTGGGCTACGCCAAATGGGCATTTGACCTCGTGGCGAGGGAACGAGAAATGGGTCTGTTCTTTGACTCGATTGTTCTCTCAGTCATGTCCGGAAGTACGCTTGGCGGCATGGCCGCTGGCTTTGCGCTGGTAGACGAGCTTCAAAAACGAGCCGGCGGGATGCCACGCCAACGGCGGTTGATAGGCGTGGCAGCAGGCCCGAAGCCCAGGGAAGACTTTGTACAACTTGTTTCGGGGATTGCAGAAACCACTGGTCGGAGGATTGGGCTCGAAAAACATAGCCTCACAGGTAACGCTTTCGAAATCGATTTGCGATGGCATGGCGATGCGTATGGCAGGCTAGATGACACGACTAGGAGGTATATCAAGCTAGCGGCGAGCACTGAAGGACTAGTAGTTGATCCCGTCTACTCCGGGAAGGCTTTCACCGGCGTTTGCAGAATGGTAGAAGCAGGTGAGCTCCGGGGTAATGTTTTGTTCGTGCATACTGGCGGAGTGTTGAGTCTAAGCGCATACCCTGACATGAGATGATTGCGCATTGAATTTGCTCCATGTGGATGATTCACCATGCAAGAGACGTGAGTCTTGAACTTTTTGGCCCATGTCGGCTCTTTCCTTCCAACTTACCTCATGGCTGGGTGCAACTTTGCAGTCATGTTTGATATTTTCTCGTAATCTCCGGGCCAACTATGCGGCCACATAGCAACGATAATTTCGCCAGCCCAAAGAATACACTATTTAGCTGGTTATGCTGAGTGTATCATTTTGTCGGCTTGGCTTTGCGTCTATATTAACCACTAGCAAAGTTATCCGAGTTGATTTGTGTGACAAGGGCTAAGGCTTGGAGTAACATAACTCAATTCATCGGATAACAGTCTTTAGTATTAAAGGTCCTTGGTTTTTCTCAAGGCCTAGTTAACCAAAGCGCTCTATTTATACAAGAAGTGGTGCGAGCCTCTGCCCTAGGTCCCGTGATCATAGCCTTTGAGTAGCGGTGTGATACCGCCTGCGGCGAGCGTTTTACTCGCGGCACTTTTTTTTTTTGGAAGTTTCTTATAGTGTTGGAGGCGTCAGTAACAACTGGAAGGTGCCTACAATCTTTAACACGGAAGTAACAGGATCACAAAAGTCTATAATGATATTCATTAGAGCCAAAAGTCTAGTTGGTAATAGTAATTTAAGATCCTTTTAACTAATTATAAGTTGAGTTTAATTTCCATGAGGTTTGTGATTATAGTAGCGTAGCACTTAGAGACTCTTATAAAAGAGGCAAAGCTGAAAGTTTTAGTTGAGCACTTCTATTCCGGCTTTGCTTAATTCAGGAATTATCTTAAAGGACGCTGTTCTGGGTTCGCAATTCTGACTTTAAGTCGTATATGTATAGAATTGGAGCTGGAAATAAAATGTTAGTTGAAGAATGAAGCGCGTAACTATCTTCTCTACTTGCAGAATCGGCCATGGTAGAACGGAGATCTGGAGTACTATTGGCAATGATTTAGAAGTCTTTCTCAGCTCTAGAATACACTGCTTACTGTTAGAATAAGACTCTCTCTACCTGCTTCGCGGCCTCCTTTTTTTCACTACTCGGCATGCAAGTAGTTGGTCGCTCTCGAGAACATTCTCCATTGTCCTTCTCCGAGCAAGGGATTGCCAAACTGTCTTCACTGTGCTTTTCATGAACAATCTATCCATATCTTCAAAAGCGAGACCTTTATAGAGCTAGAGCAATGTTGCCACATTTTGGACAATCGGCACACACCCTTGGTTTCTGGAATAAAGAATAGCGCCCAGAATCCCATAGCCACCACCAAGGCTACAAAGATCACGTATGTTCTGTACCCCAGAGAAGTAATAATGTATGGCGTGGTTCTTGAGACCAGAAAACTCTAAAACCACTGGTCGGCCATAGCTATGGCCGTGCAAAGCATTCGGATGTCTATCCCGATATCAGTGGCACAATATTCATTTTTCGCGTGGTATGTTTGTTTCCTTACCAATGAGGAAGATTTTTCTACAGTACACCCACGTAATACCCTGCCAAGTAGCACAGTAGACCATGCCGTACGAGTAAACACAGACTTGGCAATCATCACTGATCAGTAACAAGACCCTTGTGCTATACAAGAGAGATGGCTTACCCATGGCAAGAAGGCCCCATCCATGGCAATTCATATCGCCTGCTGCAGCAGCCTGCGTCGGGTCTGCCCTCATGACATATGCGCCAATATACCACATCGGCACACTGCCTACAAACGCACCCCAGATCAAGCCATTCCTCCGGGCAACCTTTTCGACCAGCCACACCGAGAAAATCATCATTCCAATGGTATTTGCGATATCATAGAGCCCTGTAGCAAAACGTTTGGGGCGTAGTTGATCTAGAAGTAGAGTTGGCAAGCACAAATCGAGGCCGACGGGCGAACCCAAGTGCACTCACCCCGAAGCCAAGCCTACCACCTGCTTGAGAGGCAATCCAGAGGCCTTGGTCAGCTCTGACTTGTTGCTCCCATTTTCATACTCAATCTACTCGGGCCAGCGAGATGGACTCACTTCAAGGATACCGATGAGTCTTCCGCGGATAGAAGGCGGCGAGGGGAAAAGTCAACAGCGACCCAAAGACAACTTGCCTGAAATGTCGATACAATGTTTCCTCGGAGCGTATCTCTGTACGTCACGGATACATCTGCCAGGCCAAAGTCTTGCCTGAACGAGTCCAAGGCCATGGTGCCGCCTAAGACAGATGTGTCATATCTCACTGCGTGTTTTGGCTCAGCATTCAGTGACCTCGTTGAGATAGCGAGACGGCTGTTCCCTGGACATTGACGCAAGGATTGCAATCATATGGATCCGCCAGTTCCTCACGTCTTGGGGATCGTTGGTCCCTTTAGCGTGGAGATCGAAGCTCATGGTTCCTCATTGCCTAAGCACTTGTCACGAATATTGCAAAATGGATCAAAAATTAAAGACTCATCACAGATGTTACATCAAGTTGTACCCTTGGTGGAGCGGTTCACATAGCATGATCGACAGAGTTCGCGGGCTGTGTAAGCTTTACATATACCCAGTTCAAGATATGGAACAATTTAGATTCAGGGAAAGCAAGCACTCATGTCACTCATGAGAGGGGGGGAGGTTCTCAGCCGAAACAAACGCCATCGAAAACAAACCGGCGGTTACAAAGTCTTTTTCTCTCCCTCTTTCTCTCTTTTTCATCAAGGCAGTGTGGCATCAGTTTGGTAGAACCCAGACATTCGGCATTAACACCTCGAACTGGCAAGGATTATTTACCCCCAGATTTGGCTCGCCAAGTTGTGCGGGGAAGTGGGGGCTGCAAACTTGCCAGAAACAACAAACTTGGTTGACATTCAATGTCCAACTTTAATCTGCGGCACACACACCAGCAACTGGCAGCATATATACGCAGTTCAACCATACGACAGCCTCCAACAGGTCTGAAACTCGTCACAGACTGCGTTCTCAAGAGCTCTGATGGGGGAGAGCTGCTGCGCCACTCTTGGCAGACGGCTCGTCTCACCGCAACAGGAACGAAAACACCCGCCCGCTCCCGAGTCGTCCTGGCTAGATGCATCGTCTTCTCCACCTTTCTATGCTCCGAGAGGGGAAGGCGTTTGTTTAAGCTTAAGTGGAGGGTTGGGACTGCAGGCTCCTCCTACATGAATTGCACGTGGTGGAGAAGAGAGGCCTCCCGACGACTAGCTCACGATCCGACGACGCGATAAGAACTGGGAGTTCCTATCAAGGGCACAGATTCGACACTAGTTGGTTTGGAAAGTGTCAAGGCGAACATGTTGGCTGGGGACCCAAAGCCACAAGACACACATCATCTCGGAGAAGGGTGGCAATCCAAGTCGAGCCATGGCTATTCGGTGCCTTGCTTTCAGACCATGTCCGAGCTGATGAGCTGCAATCTTTTTTTTTGGTGCATCAGATACCCCCCCAGCTGCATATGCATGAGGGCATGTGTCCAAGCCGAACTTGACACCTCCACTCAGCCGCAAGCGAACTCAGAGTGTCACCGTGTCACGATATCCAGCGCAGGCGACTGGCCCTCCTCAGCGTTCAGGGATGACGCGCTCAGGATAATTTTCTTGATAAATTGCTCCGCATCTTGCTGCACAGCCGCCGCCACCTAGAGAGGAGGTCTGTCCTTGCTTCCATTTCTTACCGTGGTGAGTTAATCGAGTCTTGGCGGCAAGTAAACCGCTATACTCCATGATACGCACCAAGTATCATCACGATGGGAGAGTAGATTCAGCCGATTTGGCCTCATCAACAACCTTATTTCCTGCAAATTTGCGGCATCGCCAACATTTGCACAGCCCTGCGAGCTAAATGGATTGATCGGTTGACGAGGCACGATCTTGATTCTACCTGGCTTGGCGGCCCAAGGTGCAAGCATCGTCAAGTCCAACGACTTTCGCGAAACATGTCGGCGCATCACCATTAGAGTTTCAATATACTCAGCATATACAAGAGTTTTTCTGGCATCCAACACCGGATACACTGCCTCATCGCTATCCTTTAAGGCTCGTGGTCGTCAAAATCACAGCCAGGTTACACAATATTCGGCAGTTTTGTACAGGTTACTTGTCACAACACATACCATCTTGTCATGACGGAGACTTGATTACACGCTTATTCCTTCCGAATATCATGACCAACCCCGCTTGCACTGCCTCACAAGAGTAGGCACGCCCCATGGCCCGGACATGCGGATGACCTCGCCGCACCAACTTACACAGGTCCGTTGTTTCCGCTGTTTTGCTGGGTGAGTTTGCCATCAAGGGCACTATGCACTCACACTTCGTATCAAGCCTTTCTGCAGAAGTCAAATCAAGCTAATGTTTGACTTGGCTTTATTGGTCATTGCCAAGAGGCAGTAGATGCCGAGTTTTGGTTTCTTTTCGGGCGATAAGTACCTGATAGTTGGCAAGATGCAACTCTCGACTCTGGGATATTCTCCGGTGGCTTCGTGTTCGTTAATTTGAGCGAGCGTGTGTGAACCATATTTAAAATGAAGCTGGAAACCATCACAGCCACGATGTAGTTGTCTCTATAGCAGGAAAACATTGTTTGTTTCGCATGCGATGACAGTGGACGGCAGCACCACGGCATGTATCAAGTGTCGGATTTTGATTTTCGGTGGAAGAGTATACCAAGTTTGGGTCAGCTTTGCATCTCTCGCAAAAGATGGCACTATGCCGGGTATGACTGTAGCCGACCGGGCTCATCATGTCCAGCACCTAGTCCGGCCGCCGATGGAGGCTGTGTTTGCAAGAGAGTCGAGGTGCTTCGAGGCTCAGGTATTTCAAACAAAGAGCAGTCTAGTCGCTCCGACAACTAAATCACGCCCCAATAAGGTCAACGTGTAAACGTTTATGGAACGCTGAGGGTAAAGAGCCAACAATGAAACCTCAACCAACCAACTCAACTCGGTCAAAGCCATTTCATTCGCCAGGAAAACGACTCAAAGCCGCTCTGTCGCCGACGTTTGGGCAAACGCCACCAAA